ACATGTACACATCGCATTCACACATGTACACACTGCATTCACATGTAGATACACACACTCACCACATTTGTGCACATACACCGCATTCACAAGTGGGCACACACCCCACATTCGTGCACACACATGCACATACAATTTGTACATGAGCTGCATGCACACACATGAGCTCCACCTCTCCAATAAAACCTGGGTGCGGTGCCTCTTGAGAGACACCCCACACAGCCTGATGTCCTTTGCCTCCCCCTGCCAGGGGCCAGCTGTCTGTTTTTCCAGAGGGGGCAGATGGCGGGGCAGACACTCGCCTCCACCCCCAACACTTCATCCTGAGGGATGGACATAGGAAGCAACCTGCTGCTTTGCCCTGGAACCCCCCCGGCTCCCCAACTAGCTCACTAGGTGCCCAAGTAGCAGCAACCTGCAGCCCCCACAGAACAAAACGGCAAGAGAAGCTGCAGGTAAGACCCAGGTGGCCTTAGAATGAACATGGGCTGGAGCCAAGCATCCCTGGGTTCAAGTCCCAGGGACTCCTCTCTGATTGCTGTTTGCTTTTAGGCAGCTGCGAAGCCTGTGTGTCAGTTTCTGCATCTGAAAACAAGATTTGACCCTGTAGTCTTGACTTCTGGAAGGAGTAGGGGGCTTTATAGAAGACCCCCATTTCTCAACCTGCAAGACAGCTATAAGCTTGTCCCTTGGAACAGCCTGCTGTCCTCGTGAGCTGAGTGCAGATGTAGGCATCCAGAAAGGAAGCCCATGAGTCTCTTGGGAGCTAAGGTCCCATCTAGAGTAGCTGCTGTCCTGCCTGGACAAGGTGCTTGGGTACCAACCCATAAGCAGCTATGATGTTTCCATGACAACCAAAAAGTCTGTGCTGGGGATGCTCAACCCATTGGCTGTTCTTCCAAACACTGAGTACATCCTGCTCTACTTCAGACTACAAGCATGTTACAGTTGTTTCTTTTTATAAACAAATTCCCTCTTCTTCCTCCTTGGGCAGAAGGGAGGAGTTGCTCCTAGACTGAATGATAGTGTTGGCGAAGCCTATTGAAAGGACAAGGATTGGCAGAAAAGCCAACAAATCTGTGTTGGAAGACGTGCATCCAGAGTGCTCCTTACAAGCATGCATGGGGAGACTTTGTCTCTCGGACTTTGTACATGTCATCAGGAGGGACCAGTCCCTAGAGAAGGACACCATGCTTGGTAAAGTGGAGGGACAGTTGAAAAGAGGAAGATCCCCCAACAAAGTGGACTGACAAGGTGGCTGCAACAGTGAACTCAAATGTAACAGTTGTGAGAATTGTGTAGGGTCGGGCAGTGTCTATGAGTCAGAATCAGCTCAGCGGCATCTAACAACAAAAACACCTACCAACGCTGGGGGAGGAAGGAAGGATGGTTTGAAAATCTCGTTCTGGCCTGTGCTGACGATCACAAACAGTTCTTTTAGGCGGAGGGGGAATACAGGTCCCCCGGGATCCCCCACTCCCAGCTGCTCTTGCAGAGAGGTGAGATGGAATGCAAAGGGGCCATGTCATGGCAGGAGGCCTTGAAGACCAAGGGACCTTGAGATCCAGTGATGGGTCCTTAGCCCTGGGCCTGCAGAATGAGCCCCTCACTTGGGTTTGGGTGGGAGACAAGGTAAGTACATAGAGCGAGTCCTCATCAGGGCAGATGAGGGCTGTTTGCCACATGCCCCTGTGGGCCAGGCTCTACACTGTACTGGTATGACGCCCAGCTATCAGATGGGAACACTGAGGCTCAGAGTGATGGTGCCAGGAACCCGGTGGGCTGAACTGAGCTAAGTCTGGGCCTTTTCAGAAACCTATGAAAGGTCTGGAAGATGTCTCTCCCACCAGGTAAAAATAAAAACACAACCACTTGCCTGGCAACCAAGGTCCGAGTCTCAATGGTCTCAGGTTATTCTGGTACGTCTAGAGTGTGGACCAGCCTCACGCCCAAGCCTGCAGCGCGGGCAGAATTCCACACCTGCCCTGTCCAAGGCCTCCTTCCACAACACTCCCCAGGGACACCCTGGCCCCCCTCAGGGCAAGTGAAGCCAGGAAGTTGGAAGGGATCACGCCCCCTACATCCGGGAGGGGTGTTGGGTGTCAGGAAACACTCTCCTCTGGGTTTTTAATACAATTCAAGAAAGCTCTGTGCAGGGCCCTGGGGAGATGGCAGCACCTAGACCCGCCCCACCTGCCCCACCCCCAGCCAGACAGAGAGGTGCCTGCCTCCCTGTGTGACTCTTCTCTGCACAGGACCAGCCCTGCACGGGGACTCAGGCCAGAAACCTGTCCCCAGAGATGACAGGCACTCAATCCCAAGCATGGGTTCTGAGGTCAGACCAAGGAGTGCAAATCCCATGTCTGCCTTAGGCCAGCCTCCTACTCGTTTTAAGCTTCAGCTTTCCTAATCCAAAAACTGGGGGTAAAGTTAGAACAAACTCTCAGGGTTGTTGGAAGAACAAAATGAAATATGGCTTTGCAAAGTGGTTGCCTGGGGGTGTGGTGGGGGCTGGCACCCACAAACACCCAGTGAAATGTACCCTGTTCCTGTTCTCTCCTTTCCCCAGCACCTCCGGAATCTCTTGGCCTCTACCTGACTGTCCCCCGGCCCCCCATCTTTTCTGCACATAAAGGGGGCGGGCAGCAGTATCACTGTGTCTCTCTCCCCCTCCTTCCTGCCTCTTTCTGTCTTTTTCTCTGTCTCTCTCTCCCCCTCTTTCTCCCCCTGTCAAACTTTCTCTCTCTCTCTCCATAATACATATCTCTGTTGTTTCTCTCTCTCTGCATCTCTCTCTATCACACACACACATACACACACACACACAGCTGGGTAGTGATGACCACATTTTTCATCCCATGCTCTAACACACCCTCTCCTGGGACAGACGGAAAATACATCCGCGAGGTCCCCCTGCAACGCTGTCTTCCAGTGGCACTTGATGGACGTTAACGAGGCTAGAAGATGAAGTCTTTGGAATAACTGTCTGCACTCACTTGAAGCAAAAGAGATTACATTTGAAAAGCACCAGCTTATCTCAGATCACAACCGTCTTTTTATATAAAAGTCATGGAAATAACCAATTCTCTTTTGTAGAAATACGGAGCTATGCAAACAAACAGAATCGAGGGCATCATTACGAAAGTTTAAAAAAGTTATATATAGATAGGCATTCCTTTCCTGCCCTGCACAATGCAGGTCCTCGTCCCCAACAAGAAGTACACCTGACACACGGCACTAATACTGGACTATGGTTCTTTCCATGCGGCTGACATGCGGTGGCTGGTGATACACAGGGCATGGCCGGGAGACTGCTTTCGGTTCTGACTTTGCCGCCTCTCACCAAATGGCTGTTTACCTTCTCTGCGCTAAGCCTCAATCTTTCCCACCTATGAAGTGGGAGGGAGGGAACAGAAACACCCAGACCTTTAAGGAGGGGGTGAACCCAACCCAGCAAGCACCGGGCTGGCTCCCTCTGCCCCTTGTTTTCCTGGACCCATCTGACCACTTGATTTCCAAATAGCTGAGACAAGTTTGTCTTCTGAGTCAGTAGCAAGCCCTCTCCTGATCACTCAATGGCTGGCTTCCAAGGGCCGGGTGTTTGAGACAGCAGTAGGAAGAGGGCATGGCCCCCCGCGGTACCCTGAGTCCTCAGTTTCCCCTCTGGATGTGTAATACTTTGATTCCAGCACACGGACTTGGTCTGTTTGTAGCAGAACCAACAAAACCTATTTGTAAAGAGGGGCACGAAAGGCTTTAATATTAAAGGGAAAATTTAGTGCTGGTTTAGAAAAAATGTGATTCCATTTTAAAATTTCCTGGAACTGTCTCAGAATTCCCTGGGGAAGGTAGAGAATTTCTTCTGTCCTCAGACCTCAGAGGGTTTGGCCCAGCCCCTTCCCAGGTGGTGCTCGGAGGGCAACTTTACAAAGGTGGCCCGCTGGAGAGGACCTGGTTTGGGGGCAGTTGCTCCCAGTCCCCTATGGGGACCCATGGGTGGTGGTGGGGATTCTGAGGGTTCTTGGCCCAGTGGACCTGCCTCTCTGCAAAGCCCCTTCCAGGAGGGGAAGGGGGCACCATCAGACCAGACCAGCTCTTCCTGTCTCTGTCCCTTGGTCCCACTTCAGCTTGAGCTGCTGACAATGTCCATTGCACAGCACAAGTCCATGCCTCCGAACCCGGTGCCATGCTTGTGCCTTTCTCCACACTGCAGGGTCATCTCACAGGCAGGCGGTGCCCCTTCCTCAGCTCCCTGATGGAGCACAGCTCAGCCTTCCCAGCAGGCTGCGGGCCGGGGCCCCTGCCTTCACGTCTCCACTCTGGGGTGCTTCTCAGCTCTTCCTCTGCTTTCGCCTTTCTCTCACTTGTGACTTGTCATCACTGTTACCCACCATGTTTTCTCTGCCCATCACCACATCCACGTTGAACCCACAGCCTCGAATCAGCTGTGGCATTAAAACCAATGTTGTGACTGTCCCTAAACGAAGAGTCTCGGGGTTCTGTAAGAGTGGGCAGATGGCCCCCATCTCTACTAACAGTTCAGAAACCTTTCCACCAACACCTAGGTCTAGGGGTTGGGTTCCAGATAAGAGGTTGCTGGAAAAGTGGCAGATTATCGTTCCTGATTTCTAGCGGGGAGGATTGCAGACCAAGGTAAAAAATACTGCAAAATCCCATCACAGGAGCAAATGGCTAGGCATTTTCCTGACTACAAATAGACGCATTATATATGAAATTATATGCATGAGCATTTACATACAGAGTTTATAAAAATCCTATACATTATTCCATAGCTGCACATACAGATACATTTAGTATAAATAGACTAAGACGACATTGTATAAAAGGTCATCGGGTTCTTGCAACATGGATACAGGATTTATACGATGCTGCCCTGTGCTCTCTGGTCTGCCCCAGATGCCAGCTCCCTGGGCGTCCTCCAGAGGGGCCTGGGAGCTGACAGGAGGTTGGAAGAGAAAGTCACCTGTGTCGTCCAGGGGCTAGGTAGGCGGAGGCCCCTCGTAGCGGAGCATGAGCTTGAAGGAGCGGGCAAAGTTGTTGGCCAGCGTGCAGCTGCGGGTCTCTTCCCCTACAGGAAGCAGGAAGAGCAGGAGCAACAGCAGTAGCAACAACAGCTGCAGGGGGAGCGCTACACAACACACCTTCCGGAAGAGGGAGCGGAGTCCTCGCTGTGTCTGCAAACCAAATCGGGGTGTGTGAGTGGGTTCAGGGACTCAGAGGGGGCAGGGAGGGGGGGGTGGGGGTGCCAAGAGCAGGAAGGGATCAGGGTTGACTCTTCAACCCCACACATCTCAGTTTTTCCCTCCGTGAAATGGGGTTATGGTGAGTGTTACTATCCAAGGAGTAAAAGGAAGAGAAAAATCAACAGAGAAGTAGGTTCTACCAGGGATGATGTTCATCTTTGCCTGGTGTGTAATAGTGCCGGAGTACAACTCTTGAGAAGGTAAACTTCTCTAAGCCTCAATGTCTATCAATGGGGGTTAGACAGTGCTTGGTTACTCTAGACTTGGTTCTATTATTGGTCTACTTGGTTCTACTATTGGTTTACTCTAGACTTGGTCATTCATGACATCCTCACTTCATCACTATCATCATCATCACTTTCTTCTCCATCCTCTTTCTCCTTCACCATCTCCATCATCATCTCCATCAGTATTACCTGAAGATGAGTCTTACAAGTCCAAATGCCTGGTGGATGGATCTGCTGCAATGCCCATGAAACTGATCAATGAACATTTCCTAAATTCAAGAGACACTGGTTGGCTTTATGGAATGGATGTGACAGGCAAGGAGTGTGGGACCAAGAGCTGTCCACTCATGAGGGTGGAGGCCCTCACAGCTGAGATGAAGGATGGTGTTGGGCAGGGGTCCATTAGAAATGGCCAGTCTGTGATCCAGTCCAGCCTCTGTCACATATGTCTGTGACCTTGGTCAAGTCAACAGCATCTGTGATCCTCTGTTTCTCCATATCTGTGGTGAGGACTCAAAAAAAGTATATTTATGCGTCAATATAAAAAGTATTTAATCATTGCAATGAAACGATGGTGTAAAACTGATGTTCTCCCATGTAAATTATGACTCAGTTCACAATTTAAAAAGTCTTTAAGCTCTTGTTTTTGTTGTGTCCTAGAGTTGGTTCCAACTCCTAGTGACCCTGTATAGGGTTTCCAAGGAGTGGTAGGCGGGTTTGAATCACCAATCTTGTGGTTAGAAGTCCATTGCTTATCTTACAGCACCATGGTAGTGGTGCTATTACTGTAGAATACATTTGCTGGCTTTCTGAAGAACCAAAAATTCACCTTCCAGGGCACTAAAATCCACAGTCCATGATGATGGTGATTGTAATGATGAGGCAAACAGTAACAGTGATGATCCGGAAGATAATGAAGGGTGATGTTGATGTTGATGGTGGAGATAATGGTAGTGATGTAATGGTTGTTGTTGTTAAGTACCGTGGAGTCACTTCTGACTCATAGTGACCCTGCACAGGGTTTCCGAGGCTGTAAATCTTTACGGGAGCAGAACGCCTCATCTTTCTCCCATGGAACCACTGGTAGTTTTGAACTGCCGACCTTGAGGTTGGCAGCCCGACTCATAGCCACTATGGTACCAGAGCTCCTTAATGTGATGGTGTTGATCGTAAAATGAGGATAATGATGGTGAGGTGGGGATGAGGATGGAGCTAATGATGGAGCTGATGTGATGGTGATGATAGTAAGATGAGGAGGATAGTAATGGTGATGGTGTGGAAGATGGTGCGTGACAAGGATGCTGATGATAGCGATGATGGTGATTAGTGATTATAACAATGATGATGGTGAGGATGATGGGTGATACTGATGCTGATGATAGTGATGATGGTAGCAATGATGATGATCATGGGTGATATGGTGCTGATGGTAGAGATAATGATGGAGATGATGTCATGGTGATGATAGGAATGATGTCGTTACACGGAGAGGATTGTAATCATTGAGATGAAACAAAATGTAAAACTGACGGTCTTGTCTGTAAACTTTCACTCCAGTCACAATACAAAATTAAAGAAACAATGAGCAACTGAAACATCACAGAGACACCCTGAGTGGCCCCACTCTATGCTCATGGGTCCCTTCTGGAAGCTGACCGGCCTGGACCTCAAACTCTCCCACAGAAAGACGAGGTGTTGGTTACACAGCCCACGGGGACCAGGGCTTTGTGGGCAGCCCCAGAGCTTCTTAAGAGACACCAATTGGCCATGTGTTCACCACCTCTGATGTTCCTTTAGCTGCCAAGCCATGTGCTGACTGGCTTCCCCTCTCTGAGCTTCCTCAAGAGTCGCCAGAAGGGGGATGGGTCTGGGACCCCTACACTCCCTGGACGGCTCCCACAACTCCTTGGAGTGACCACTCTGACTGGGCCTGCCTGTTATGAGCTTCCGCCCAGGACTCATCTCCCATGAGGGCTCCCAGGTTCTGCATGGCTCCCCCAGGGACTGGGTGGGACTGAGTTCCTTCCGGTTCTTAACCATGATGCTCTGCAGGGCCACGGTCCACCCACAGAAGTGGATTTTTCCAGGGTCCTGGATTGTGTTTGGAGAGGCAGAGGAGGTCATCTGAGCTGGCTTTGGGAGGTGGCTTAGGTAACTGATGGGAAGCCCCTCTGGATGAAAGGCTAGAAGTGAAGGGATTTGTCAGGACTCAAAGCAAGGATGGAGCCTCCTTTAGGAGCTGCCCTGTAGGCGCAGGCTTGCTTCTCTCCTCCGCCTCTATCTCCCCCCACTATCTACTCTTCTGTCCCTCATCGTCCCTTCCCTCTCTCATCTGACATCCATCCATGGCTGGGCTCTGAGCCCAGAACCGGGACCCCAGTTGTGAGTATCTAGGATGATCCAGAGGCATCCACATGGGGAACCTGGGGTCAATGACAGGCTTTAGAGATGGACTCTGGGTGTGGTCCAGCATGGTGGGGGGGGGGGGGAGATTGTGAAGGGTTGGTGGGGTTGGGAGCGGGGGATGTAAAGGGGTGGGGAGTTGGGGGTGTGAGGTGAAGTTATTGGTCTAAACGTCCACCCAATACGTTTACTAGGACGGAAAACAAGACCAAACAAAACCCCACCACCAGCAGACACCTTCTGGAACAGAAAGAGGGTTCCAGGTAGGTGTGACCTGGGAGAAGAAGAGAAGCCACCCAACCCCCCTCTGAAAGAACTAAAATACCCGGCAGCTCATTGAAAGGTTGGAGCTTCAAGTTCGCCCAGAGACACTTGGGTAAAAGGCCTAATGATCCGCTACCCTGCACAGACAAGGTCACAGTCAGTTGGAATGGACTTGATAGGTACTCGCTTTAGTAAGCCACCCAATTCTAGAGGTGTGGAAATATGAAAAAAAAACAAGAGTCTTAAAATCAGCGACACCAAAAGCCGCTCTCAGGTCACCTTCCATCTAGATCTGGGCCCCAAGGTCCCTGACGGAATGAAGGATGTTGAGTCTGCAAACCAGCTCGCTGGCTCTGCACTCAGCCACCCAGACAAACAGGATTTGCAAACGTCTCTTGCAAGAAGAGCCTGTCTCAGCGAGAACCAGCCGACCTTCAGGGCCAGGGCAGGGACCGGGTCAACTCCAGGCCCAGGCTCAACATTCTGGTGTGTGTATTTCAGAGAAAATGCACCGAGTGGCATTGCGTAGGTAGCTGCAAGCTTAATAAGTCTTAATGAATCTGTCTCTACAAACAATTAGGCTCCTCATTAGCATGGTGCAGGAAGACATAGAGAGAGAGAGAGAAAAAACGTGTGCAGAACCAACAGCTCATGAATTTCAGCTGTGCGGCAGAATTTCTTTCTTTCCTTTGGACTAAAAATAATGCAAAGGGAGGGTTTTAAGTTGGCGGGAGTACAGCTTATGAAGATAGAACCCGTTTTCTCCCTGTCAGCCTTGTGGGTGCAGGTAGATACGTGCAAATGTGTACACACACCCACACCCCAATACCAGACGAGACTGAAACCAACGGGGCAATTTTCCCCTTGGGAATGGCATTGCACCTTTTGCTCTCAGACAGGGAAGATGGGACAGCGTCTGCAGAACTCTCTCGGGTCCTCATGGATGTGGTAACCGAATCCTTCCTGTGTGCCAGCTGACCCCATCTTATACAGGGGGGAACTGAAGGTAAGCCACTCACCAAAACTGAGGTTAAAAGACTTACCACATGTGTGATGGAGCCCGCACTCCAACCAACAGCCTAAAGCAGCGCCTGTCAGTGTGATCCCTGGACCAGCAGCACACACCTGCCGCTTATTGTACTTGTCATTAGGGACCATTGAGTCGGTTCCGACCCATAGTGACCCTGTATACAGCAGAAGGAAACACTGCCTGCTCCTGCTCCAATCTCACGATCATTGTTAACCCGAGCACACTGCTGCCGCCAACTGCCAATCCATCTCATTAGGGGTGGGGGTGGGGGTCTTTCTCTTTTTTACAGACCCTCCACTTTACCAAACAGGATGTCCTTGGGCCTGGTCTCACCTGATAATGTGTCTGAAGTATGAGAGACGAAGTCTGGTCTTGCTTATTAGAAACACACATTTTTTAGTCTTGCTCCAGACCTACAGGATCAGAAACTCTGGGGACTGGACAGGGACAAGCAATCCACTCTGGCCAGCCTTCCAGGTGATTCTGACGTGGGCCCATCTCCCAGCTAGTGTAAGGTGAAGAGCTGGGGTTTCTGTCTCAGGTTACCGTGCAGCCGGGGGCCTGGACAGAGGGACAGGGCATGTGAGCAGTTCTGACACTTTTCTCCTGGGCACAGGTACGAAGGCATCACGATGTCTATGCATCACGATGTGGAAAGGTTCAGGTTCCTGGGACCCGAGGCTACGGTAATGCTTCTGATACGTTGCCAGGCCTCTGCATAAGCCCCATCCCTGCTCGGGATGCCTCTTCCTCCCTCCCCTATCCACCTATTTACCCTGGAAGCTCAGGACCCCCGCCTCCCCGCCCCATGGATCCTCCCCTTAATACCACCTCCTGCTGAGTGGCCACCCTCCTCACCCACCCCTGCTGAGTCCTGCCTCCTTGCCACCTGCAGTGTCCTGTTCTCTGTTTGTTCTAATTCCAGACTGTGAGGTCCAGGAGAGCCCAGCGGGGACCTCATTCACCTCTTCTTGCCACAGCCTTGCCAGTCCCCACAGCCACTCCAGGACGCAGGAAATGTTGGTGGGTGGGGCAGGTGCTCAGCTGCTCCAGAGGGTGGGTCCAGGGCCAGACCAGCGTGCACTCACAGAGCAAGGCATCTAGATCTTTCTATCCTCACTGTCCGCAGGCTTAAAACAGAGCTAACCATGCCTCGGGGTGTCATGGGAGGGCTGAATGACTTTCCTGCGCCCTGATTTAATTCCTAACACTCTGAGTGGCTACTAAGTAACACTGACCTGTCCCCTTGGTCTCTTGTCCCCCAGTGGATCACTGATGTTCTTCTACCACCAGAGAGGCCAACAATGCAGTTCTCTTGGGACAATCCTGGTTATTAAATAGCTTTCTTGTGTACTGCACAAAATGTCCTGATTTTGAATGATAAATACGAGGTCCCTCCTCTACCACCTGCCTACTGTGACTCCTACTGTGACAACTTGCATGCTGCTATGATGCTAGAAGCTCTCACTGCTGCTCTTTCAAATGCCAGTAGGATCACCTGGGGTGGGCAGATTTCAGTGAAGCGTCCAGACCAGGAGAGACCAGGAAGAAAGGGCTGGCAAACTTCTCAGCCAATGAAAACCTTATGGGTCATAACAAAACACTGTCTGACTCACTTGCTTTGGACAGCAGATCAGTCACAGGAGAAGGACACAGTGTTTGGGGAAGCAGAGGGTCAGTGAGGATGAGTAAGACACATTAGTAAGATACATTAAGAGGATCGTTAAGATACATTAGCCATAATAATGGACCAGAACATGCTGATACCTGTGAGGATGACACAGAACCAGGAAATTTTTGTTTTGTCCATGAGGCTGCCTCAATTCAGAGTTGATGTGATATGAGCTATTTACCGATCTACCTGCCTACCTCTATCACATACCTGTCACCATGGTGTATACACTACACATTCCTGCCTGGCTCCCCATTCCTCCTAAGCCTGGGGCTTCCTGAGAACAAGGACCCCTGGCCCAGCACAGTGCAGCCCAGAGCTGATCCCCCATAAATACTCTTCAAACTGAACGGAACCTTCCAGAAAGCCCCAGAGTCCTACAGCATCACGAGTCCACCAACCCCTCCCGGCGCCCTGCTCTCTAGCAGTGTGGAGCAGACGGCAGACGACATACCTTTCGGAAACCAGTCCGTTCCCCAGGAGAACTCTGCGTCTGTTATTTTAGGAGAGGAGAGGAAAAAGTGGAAAAAAAAACAAAAAAAGTTAAGCGAGTGAAACTTAACTTCCAACAGAGCCTGTAATGGAATATTCATTTTGTCAAGGGAGTACTTCTCTTAAACTTCTGGTCATCTGGACAGGCTGAACCAGCAGGTGATTCGATTTAATGAGCTTTTTAACACACTTTGGGCCCAGGTGGGAGTCTGTCTGGGAAGGCCTGCCTCATCCCTAGAGGCTCCGGGCTCTGGGCCTGGCTGGGGCTGCACTGACATCTAGTGGCCAGTTCAGAAATTGCAGGGCCAGGAAAGCCAAGAGCTGAGAGGGCCCAGGGAGGAGGCTGCCACTTCCACCCATCCTTGAATACACGGATATATAACCTCTGTGCCTCAGTTTCCTCATCAGTTACCAGGAAGCAATCCCACACTCTCCTTTGTAGGGCCCTTGTGAATACCTGGCATCTAACAAAGACTCGATTTTTGTTGTTGATTTTAAGTGCTGTTGAGTTGGTGCCATCTGATTCTCAACCACTCTGCATACGGTTTCCAAGGGGCGGCTGGTGAGTTTGAACCACCAACCTTGAGGTTCAAACCAACCTTGTGGTTCAGTGCTTATCCTACAGTGCCAAACCAGGAAAATGTTGTCTACTTTTGGCACTGGGGTTAGGCACTTGACTCTTAACCAAAAGGTTGGCAGTTCGAACCCACCAGTTGCTTAGTAGGAGAAATGAGGTAGAAAAAGTCTAAAGACAAAGATTTATTGTCTTGAAAACCCTATGGAGCTGTTTTGTCTCCTAGAGTTGCTGTGCAATGAAACTCAGTCTATGGCAATGGGTTGCTTATGGAAGATTATCATCACGATTTTACTTTGGCACCACAGGCTAAGCACTTGACCTCAAGGTTGGTTCAAGCTCACCAGCCGCTCCTCAGAAACCCTATGCAGGGTCGTTATGAGTCGGAACCGACTCGACAGCACTTAGCAAGTATGCTATTATTGTTTAGTAATCGTATCAACCATGGATTTTAAAATATTGAAATAATATGAAAATGTAATCATAATTTAAAAACATGTCTAAGATTAATATTGTGGGAGAAAGATGAGGCTTTCTGCTCCTGCAAAGATTTACAGCCTCAGAAACCCTACACAGAGGTTGCTATGACCTGGAATCAACTCTACGGCACCTCATGTGGGTCCCCATGTCCCATATGTAATCAATAGGATTACATATGGGACATGGGGACCCACAAGGAGGGCTTGCTCAAAGTCATCAAGCCAATTCATGACTGAGTGGAGCTAGAACTGAACTCTTCAAACCCCCAGTCCAATGCCTCCTCCATCACACTTAGAGCAACCAAGTCCCAAACCAAGCCCACTGCCAATTCCAACTCGGCAATCCCATGGGACCGGGTTGACCTGCCCGCTGGGATTCCCAAAGTTGTCATCTTTGCAGTCACAAATGGCCACATTTTTCTCCTGTGGAGCTGCCGGTGAATTTGAACTGCTGACCTTCTGGTTGGCAGTCGAGTTCTTTAACCACGATGCCACCAGGGTTCCTCCTACAACCTAAGAGTGGTGTTTTCATGCTGATTCCATCACATACTAACTGTGTGACCTGGCCTGGGTTATTCACAAAGTCTCAGCTGTCCCGTCTGGGCGCTGTAGGGACTGAGCTGGGATGATAAACAGGAAGGTGCCTGGGAGGCCCCTTAAATATGAACTTCGATGGGATTGCTGGGACTTCAACATCATGGATGTCTAAAACCAAACCTAACCCTTTACCACGGAGTCCATTCTGACTCATGGCGACCCATGTCCTATAGAGTAAAACGGTCCCATAGAATTTTCTTGATTGATCTTTATTGAGGCAAATGGCAAAGTCTTTCTTTTGCAGTGTCATTGGGTGAGTTCGAGCCACCAACCTTCAATGGTGGACCATTTGCTTCGCTTAGAGACCTTAGGCTAAGATGGCTATATGACATCACTCAAGCCAAGCGTCCTGGACCCATGAGTGGTCACCTCAGCCTGGTCCATGCTAGCACAGGGAGAGTGGACTGTGGGCTGAGGTGTCTCCTGACATGAGCTGGGGAGCACCTACCAGTAGGAGGCTGGAGTCCTTGAGCTTGGACTTGTACAGCATCCATCGGTAGCGCAGGTCCTCCAGCTCGTCCGAGGCCCCCCTTGCTGGCCCGAGATGAAGCAGGTTCTCAAAGAGTCGTTGTCCTTCGGGAACACGTGACTCTAGCTCCTGGGGAGAGAGCAGCATTGTAGCGTACCTTCCAAGGACTCGGTGGTCCCACTTGACAAGTAGAGAGGGGCCAAAGTTTACTTGAGAGAGAGGCATGCTGTGAGGGGTAAGCAGAGTCCTTCCTCATAGCCAATTCAAGCCAAGGTCAGACACCTTCTTCTGGACCCCTACAGGGCACACTCCTGCACAAAAGGGCACTTGGACTGCTGACCTCCATGGTTACTTCAGAGTCTGTCATCTGAGGACCAAGTCCTCCAAGAGTTCACAGAAAGCTCCGTTGCTTTCTTAGACCCCACCTATGCTGGGCGAGCACTCGGGGCTGTCTGGCCGAAGACAGATCCATGTGCATGGATTCCCACCAACAACAGCAGAGACACCAGCTGACCAGCAATGGACAGCAGACATACAAGGGAGCCAACAAGTCCTGCCCAGCTTCCAACCTTCAGAATCAGGGATTCAATGCGTAGTGACTGCTTTAACACTTTCAGGAGTGAACTATTTTCAGCTTTGCATTTGTTGTTGTTGTTGAAACTATGTGCGTTCAGTGGTGGTGGTTGTGTGTCGTAGCGTCGGTTCTGACTCATAGTCTGTAAACCTTTATGGGAGAAGAAAGCCTCATCTTTCTCCTGTGAAGCAGCCAGTAGTTTCTAACTGCAGACCTTGAGGTTAGCAGCCCTATTTGTAACCACTACATTACCAGAGCGCCTGTGTGCTTTCAGTAATTGAAGGCATTTTGAATGAAATGACAAAAATTGTTTGAGGCAATATGGATTTTGAGACAACTGTTGTTAAGTGTTGTCAAGTTGGTTCTGACTCACAGTGACCCTGTAAAGGGTTTCCAGGGAGCAGCTGGTGGGTTTGAACCTCCAACCTGTGGTTAGCAGTTCAGTGTATATCCTACAGCACCACTCCTAGACTCCTCGAGGAAACTACAGGGACAGTAGGACATATATGCGCCGAAGGGGGCTCTCTGTGGTGCTGGGGTTGGTGGAATGAGGACAGTCTTCAGATCCATACAGTTATATAATCCCCCACCAGATGGCAGCATGCACTAAAAAGTGGGATAGCAGTTTCCCACTAAACCTCAGAGACTGGAAATGTAGGAGGGCACTATATGTCCCATGGTTCTTGAAAGTATTGGGATGGTTTGTTACACAGCAACAGCTAACTGATATGGAGTCAAGTGATTGGCGGTGACAGTTTCCATGTAGGGGAAATACAGAAGTTGGCTGAATGAACAAATGTATGCTAGCAAAAATTCTCTTAAAATATCTCAATCCCCAAAGTATAAAACCGTTATTTACATACATTGGAGAAGAGCTGACAAGCTCTGAGTGATTCTTTTATGGAAGAAACCCCTGGTGACAAACCCATCTACAGTGTCCTTAGGTACAAACCTGCAGCTTCAGGTCCCTGGCCCTTAAGTCCTGGGCTGTGGTGGTCTTCGTGGCGATTATTCGAACCAGCTTTGAATTTTCTACCTGCAGCCACTGTTCGAAGTTCCTTAGGAGTTGGGAGAAGTCTTCCTGGCCATCTCCTTCTTCCTGGGGAAGATCTCCCTGCAGGGATAGTGGAAGCAACCCATTGTGTACATGTGCTGGGGGTCCACTGAGGCCCAGGGGCCAGGCCAGGGCTGGTGGCAGAGGCCCAGGGTGGGGTGGACTCGAGAACAACATCCCCACAACACAGGCACACTCAGGGCCTGAGGAATCTTCATCCTGCCGACCTGTTCCCTTGTGCCCTAACCAAGACAGCTCTTCAACTGGTTACCTTTCCACCAGTCTTGTTCCTGACCCCCCACCCCCTGATTTCTGCAGCCAGAATGATCTGTCTAAACCACAAGCCCACCCCAACACCCAAGTCTGGAATTGAACCCACAGCCAGAAACACCTTTCAGCCAAACAACCAAACTCGATTCTAACACACAGGCCTTTAAAGTAAACTATAAACAAAATAACAAAAACAAGAGGCCAAAAGGACAACGTTTGCCCCCAAACCAAGCTCAGGCAGCAGGAAGGAAGGACAGATGGCAATGAGGACTCCAGGGAGGAGGTGGGAAGAGTGCTGTTACCTTGAGGGGATCGCACCCAATGTTACCAAACAAAATGCGCAGAAATTGTTGAATGCGAAATGAATGTGCACTATATATAAACTTTCACCCAAACCACAATCAAATCAGTAACAAGGAATGATGAAATCAGGCTTTGTTGTTGTTAAAAAGTGCTGTCGAGTCAGTTCCGACTCATGGTGACTCTGCGTAGGGTTTCCAAGGAGCAGTGGGTTTGAACCACCAACCTTGTAGTGTGTAGTCCAGTCCAGCAAACCAGCCCCACACCAGGAGTGAAGAATGATAGAATCGGTAATAAGTAATAAAATCAATAATAAGTAATGATTTCATCAGTAATAAGGAAGGATGACTTAGGTAACAAGTAATGATGTCATCGGTAACAAGTGATGATTTCCTCGGTAACAAGTAATGATGTCATCGGTAACAAGTAATGACGTCATCGGTAACAAGTAATGATGTCATCAGTAACAAGTATTGATGTCATCGGTAACAAGTAATGATGTCATCGGTAACAAGTAATGATGTCATTGGTAACAAGTAATGATGACACCAGTAATAAGTAATATTAAAAAGAAGGTTCACTCAGCTCAGGTCTCCCTTTACACTTGGATGCTTCGCGCACCTTCCTGATGGCCGGAGAGCCTCAGGAGTCAGTTCTGCCACCTCATTGCCAAGCCACTGTCCTGTCTCCAAACCCCAGCCTTCTCCAGGGCCCTTGCCCAGGAACCCTCTCTGCCTCAGGGCCTTTGCACACACGATCTTCTCACAGAAAACGCCTCCCCCAGTTCCTACATCCGGAGGTCGGCTGACTGTTTCCTGGAAGGGTTTCGCATCCTGACACTGGGTCCCGTCACCCTGATGCAGGCTCACACTGCATCAACACTCACACTCACTCACAAATCCCTTTGCACCTCCTTATTCTTCAAAGTGCTCCGAGCCCAGCAACACAGTTATAAGTTGGGAGCTGGGGAGGAATGCAGATTCTCAGGCCCTGCCCAGCTCTACTGGGTTAGAATCTGCATGTGGACTAGAAGTCGGTGCACACTGGAACCTGTGACGCTTCAAAAAGTTCATAGAAAAATCCCAATATCTTTTCATTCCACTTTCCATAAACTTTTTGAAGCCCCCTCCTATGGTATTAAAGCCAGATGCCAACTCATGGCCATCTCGTGTGTGTCAAAGCGGAACTGTGCTCCATAGAGCTTTCAGTGGCTGATTTTTTTTTGAAGTCTATTTCCAGACTTTCTTCCAAGGTACCTCTGGTGGACTCGACCCTACAACTTTTCAGTGAGTGGCTGGGGGAAAAGCATCCAGGGACGCGCCTGGCACACGGGGACACTGAACAGGAGCGCTGACTAGTGAATGTGAGAGCAGGAATGGCTTTCTTTTCCCCAGGACTCAGGAATTTAGAAGCCATCGGGGCGAGGTGACGGAGAATGCACTGGACTCGGGTTCTTTCTTTTTCACACAACTCCCAGCGTCCACACACACACACACACACACACACACACACCATCTTGCTGGTCTGCAATCTCTAACCTGGGCCCAGAGGGACCTATGCAACCCTGGAGCTCCTCCCTGACCTGCTGGCACCTCCAGCATTTGGTTAATGGATGTCTAGGACCCGCCCAGGTGGCCCTGCAGCATCTGGGATTGCTGAGATCCTTGATGTAATCCCATGCAATCCAAGTCCTAGTGGTACAGTGGGTTAAAGCATTTGGCTGCTAACCACATGTTCAGTGGTTCAAACCCACCAGCCATTCCAAGGAAGAAAAATGAAGCAGTCTGCTGCCATAAAAAAGATTTATAGCCTCAAACCCACTCTTTTCTGTCCTATGGGGTCACTACAAGTTAGAAACAACTGAACTGCCACGGGCTCAGAGGTGTTTCTATACTTCTTGAGCCCCAGCAGGTAGGATTCACCCAAGATGGGGCCTTGGTCACAATCAGAGAACTGAGCATGTGCAGCAACCACTCCCCCCATACCCCAGACAGAAACTGGCCCCACTCCCAAAGCCCCACTAGACAGACTCACCTGGTAACGACGCCGGGGAATGGGGTGCAGAGGGTTGATGAGAAACCCCGACTTTGGGATGTTGTTGGTGAACACAGGTTTCTTCCCGGGGTCCACTTCTGTCCCTTCCAGCTTCCAGCTTCTGATGAGGCTGAGGAGGTAAACTCTGCTCAGTCAGTGTGGTCATGTGATGCGGCTCGGCTGCCACGGGAGCAGCGACAGCCAGTGGAGTCATGAGGACCTGCCTGTCCATGGGGATTTTCAGACACCAGGCTGGGACACGTTCCTGTCCAGCACCTAAGTGGGGACTCACGTTACCTTGCTGTGATGCAGGTGGGGAAACTGAGGCTCAAGCCTGAATGGGACAAAGCCCAGCTCCTACTATACCTGCTAGGATGGCTGCTGGGACCAGAGGGTGGAGGTGTCCACTCGGGAGGACCCTGACACAGAATGCCCAGGGTCACAAGGCACTCACCTTAGCAAGCGCTCCGTCAGCAGCCTCAGGCCCCTCCACGACTCGGTCAACTCGTCCAGCTGTTCCTGGACCATAGCAGCCCCCTCTGGAGAAGATTTCTCCATCACCAGTCGGCCGTGGGCTTCGATCAGAGGCAGCTGGCCTTCCTTCTCCGGTAGTTCAGCCACCAGCTTCTGAAGGTGACACACAGGCACACAGTGAAGAGTGAGGCTCCCTAGTGTGATCCTGGGACTCTCCGTCCATAGGAAGCGACATTTCGCCCGCCGGGCTTACCTCGACCTCAGCCTCTCGGGCTTCCGCCCCCCAGGGGCTGGCATTGCCCTGGTGGGCCTCCAACTTGTGGGTGAGCATGGAGACCCACTGCCGAAACTCCAGCAGTTCATGGTTGAAGGTGACGTGATCCCGCACGCCCTGCTGGTTCTGCTCCACCAGGTCCTGCAGCATATGAGGGGGTGAGGACTGGGTCAGAGACCCCGCACACGCCCTGACTCACAGGACCCCAGACCTACTGTGCCCCAGGGCTCCCCGCTCCACAGGAACACAGGCTAGTTCTCTGGTCCTCCTTTCTTGTCCCCACAGAAGGCGGTCCCTTTAGAAAAAATCAACTGTGGTTCCAATTAGCTCAAAACCGTTGCTAACTGCAAGGTTGGTGGTTTGAACCCACCAGTGGCTCTGGGGGACAAAGAACAGGTTATCTACTTGTTTAAAGACTGCAGCCTAGGAAACTCTATAGGGTAGCTGTGCTCTGTCACACAGGGCTGCTGAGTTGGAATTGACTCGATAGCATACAGCAACAAACCTGCAGACGGCTAACAGACTTAGCTGCTAACCCAGAAGTCTGGGAAGAATTAATGAGCTAATGTAGGCAAAGCATCCGACACAGAGCAGATCGCAGTGAATGTCCCTTGTTGTAACTAACATCCAGCGTACCTTTGGATGTGGCCATTAACGGGGACTGGTGGGCTTCCGCGAGCCCCTGAGGGGCAGAGGCTCAGATCACAGAACCCAATGGTGGCTACTTCATTAAACAGAATTAAATGAATGCGCCCAGACCACACGTGCCACTCAGACCATCAAGGCCGATAGATGTGGTGCAGCATTTTCTGGACGCTTCCATTGTCTTAGAGGAAATGAGCGATTCTGACTCATAGCGGCCCCTATAGGACCAAGTAGAACCGCTGCACAGGGTTTCTGAGGCTGTAAATCTTTACTGGAGCACACAGCCTCATTTTTCTCCCACAGAGTGGCCAGTGGGCTTGAACCGTCAACTTTCAGTTAGTCCAATGCTTAACCCACTGTGCCACTAAGGATACTCAAAGAAATTATTTTACTTTTATTCCCCTTTTTATTACAGAAAGGAACTCTGGTGTGGCATTAAAGGAAAAGCACTGGACTATTAACCACAAGGTCAGAAGTTCAAACCCACCAGCCGCTCCTGGGAAATCCTACACAGGGTCACTATGAGTCAGAACTGACTCAACAGCACTTATCAACAGCGTTACAGAAAGGCCAGCCTATTAATGGTTGACTCATGTGGGTAACATATTATCTACCAATTTCTGGATTGTAAAGGGGGTGTTATCAAATAGGGTGAGGCGGGGCTAGTCCAGCAGGGAGCCAAGAGTCCCTGAAACTAAGTGTTTTCTTACAGTGCGGCTCCCAGAGCTGACTTTGAACTCGTCTGGGGCACTTGTTACAAATGCAGACCCAAGCCTCCATCTGAATCAGTGTCTGGAGTGGGGCTGGAGCCCACATTTCAACAAGCCAGGGTGCCAATTCTGAAATGGACTATATTTCCAAGTTCCCACACTTAACAGGAGGGAAGCTGATCCTGTGTAGAAATGAGAAAAATGCCGGGTGGCCACTAGAGGGCACTGCCGGCAAGGTGCTTTGGCCTGGAGGCGCCACCGGGAAACCATGCCTACACTATGGCAGGGCCTTCAGCTGGCCATGAATGCTGCCCATGGGAATGGGGCCGGGACATTGCTGGGACCAGCATATGCCCTGCTCTCTTGCCTCTTGGCCCCTGTCACAGTATGGGGTTGCATGTTACTTTTTAAGACCTATCTCTGATAGCTGAGATTTAATCGCTAGATAAGGATGACCTGATGCTGTGAGGAATGGTGGGGACGGGCAGCGGGCAGGGAGACAGGACAAGGAGTGGGGTGGTCTGGTTCTCCCGCAGCCAGTACTGGCCCTGTGCTTGAACTCCTTACCTCCAGAGACCTGTGCAGAGACTGAAAGTTGGAGAAGAGCTGGTCCATTGTGTGCTGGTGGTTGGAGTTCCCCTGAATCAGAGGTCTGGCTGCCTCCATCTGCACCCCCAAATCCAGGACCTCTTCTTGCAGCCCCTGTAGGAGGAAGAGGAAGAATGGGGTTATCTCTGTCCTGGGGGATAGTTAGAGCAGATCACCACAGTGGGTGGGGGGCTTAGAGGGCCCAGGATGCCGACAGTCCCCAATATGAGTGGTCTGTGGGGCCCACTCCCAGGGTAGGCGTATGCACACTTTAAAAATCAAAGGACCTATTCCGGGGCCTTGTGAAAATGAGTTATGTTGAAAGTCAGGCACATCTCTGGGGACATACCTACACCTGGACTCTCGGTGACCAGTTCTTTTTACCAAGAACCACATCGCAACTTCAGTTTTAAAGCCAAAAAAAGTCACCTCTTTAAAGGCCTTGCAGGTTCCATCATCTTGGTTTTTATATGAGGCAGCTTGCTCTTAAAAAAGCTGTATTTTTAAACTGCACATCACTAATCTAACAATTAAATATCAACATGGCGCTGTAAGATCAGCACTGGATTGTGAACCAGAAGGCTGGCAGTTCAAATCCACCAGCTGCTCCTCAGAAACCCTATACAGGGTGGCTATGAGTCAGAACCAACTCAAAGGCACTTAACAATGACAACAGCAGTCCATTTAGAGGAAGCTTGGTGGCACAGTAGTTTAAACATTGGACTGTTTAAACATTGGACTGCTAGTTCAAGCCCACCCACTGGTTCCTGGAGGACAGATGAGGCTGTCTGTGCCTGGAAAGCCTGGAACGCCTATGAAGCAGTTCTGCTTTGCCGTACACGGTCACTATGAGTTGGAATCGGCTTGATGGTAGTGCGTTTGATTGCTGGGTATTGGTCATGTTTTGTTGTTTTTCTGACATATAAATGGTTCTGAATTCATTCTTTCTTTCTTTCTTTTTTTTTTTGGTGTTTATTTACCTATGCTTTGTTTTTTTAAAGCTTTTATTGTGAATTGAGTGATAGTTTACATGGGAGAACATCGGTTTGTGCACTCATCCTATCCTGTTTTGTTTCTTTGCAATGATTACAATTTCCCCTCCAAGCACCATCATTTTAACAGGGTTTGCTTCTATTCCCTCAGTTTGTTTTTGTGTTTGTTTGTTTGTTTGTTTTTTTTTTGGATGTACACAAAATCACTCAGGAATATCTAATCATCTAAACAACAACCAAAGGGCACATTCTCCAAGCCTCCCTCCTAGCCGTCAGCACACAGCCTTTCTCTTTCCATGAGTCTAGAGTCCTCAGCTGCACTTTCTCTCCATGTTGTCATCTCTGCCTCCATCTCTGGTGTCGCTGCTTCTCTCCTTAGAGTCCCACATTCTGCCTGTGTCAGTCATGTGTTTTTAAACACTGATTCTTAATCCCAAAATTGGTTTGTTAACAGAAGGCCTCTGGACTCATTAAAAAACACCTCGTAAAGCAACTTTTAAAATCAGTACAGATGTTAGCCTGTGGAACCAAGAAATCAACACAAGGGCAGCTTCTCCTTTGATTATACCGAAGAATCTGCAGCTGTATGTTAGCGGGTACGTTGTTTTTCGCTCGGGAGGGATGGTGAGGTTTGGCAACTGCACAACATCGCGAATGCACAGAATGCCACCGAACATAATGCTTTCAAACAGGTAACTATGCTATGGAAGTTTCACCTCCATAAATGATTATTTTTTTCAATCTAAAATCCACTAAAGCCTTTGCAGAGGTCAGTCGCCCTCAGGTAAATAAGTCTGTTAAGGTTGGAGGTCAGATATCAAGGGGGGTTCTGCAGCTCTGGGATAAGCCACAGGCTGCTGTGCTGGTGAGGAGGCACCCTGGGAATGCTCTCTACTGCTGGGTGCTAGATGAAAGGTCATCAGATCAAGCCCACCAGTGGCTCCGAGGGAGGAAGATGTGGCAATCTGCTTCTGTAAAGCCTTATTCCAGCAGTTCTACTCTGCGCTGTACGGTGACTGTGATTCGGAACCAGCTGGATAGCAGTGGATGTCTTCAGTAGAGGCAGGGGGTGGGGAGTAGCTGGGTACCTGAGCAAGGGTGACGTGGTCCCCTGAGAGCCCTTACCTGCAGCCTGGAGAGCTGGGCTTGTTTATCAGGTAGATCCCGCTGCAGCACGTGCTCAGCTTGGAGCCTGGCTTGGAGGGTCAAGAGCTTCTTCTGCAGGAACTCGAAAGCCGCTGCGAAATCCCTGTGCTGTGAGACCAGGCTCTGGGGAGACACGAGGGGCGGGAACGGGGCCCCCGCTGTAAGACCTCACGCTCCCAACCGCGGGGACTCTTTCCCAGACTTCTGGTCAGCTCAGCACCACCCCCTCTAGGAAGCCTTCCTTGCTCCCACCTTAGTGTCAGAACACAACACTTTGGCCACACCTTCCTATGACAGGAGTCACCAAACTCTATCCCCCAGCCACCCACCATGTCCTGCTAGAAATGTTTTGGGAATTGAAATTGTATTGAGACTCGGCCAATCATCTTTCAAGCTACATCGCAGAGTTGAGGGATAGTCACAAAAGACCCTCCGGTCCACAAACTGAAATACTTGCTAGCTGCCCTTTACAGAAATTTTCTCAGCCCTTGCTCTAGAATAGTACTTTTGAGGTGGCCGGGTAATTGTCTATTTATTCGTTTCCACCAATAGACTACCAATGCAAAGACCCGGATTTCCTTTCTTTGTCCTCCAGAACCTAGAACCCTGCCTGGCCCTGCTGGAGTAGGGTCCCAGGAGTCACACAGCGATGGCGGAGTTGTGGCGCGGCCACCTATTAGCTGTGTGTTAGGGTGGATTACAGATCCGTGAATTCATAATCCCTGGGGCCCGTGAGTATGAGCTTGTTTGGTCACAGGGCCTTTGAAAAGACGCAGAGGGAGGACGGCCACGTGCCAGTGGAGGCAGAGACTGGAGTCAGAGGTTTATAAACCAGGAACACCAAGGGTCTCAGGCTGTTGCCAGGAGCTAGGAGACAGGAATGGGCCAGATTCCTCCTCAGAACCCTCAGAGGGAACCAACAGGGCCACTACCTTGATTTGAACTTGAAGGTTCCAGAACTGTGAGATGGTACATTTCTGTTGTTTTAAGTCAAGGAGTTAATAATAGACTATGTGACCTCAGGCCACTTACTTGACAATTCTTACCTCCATTTCCTCATCTGTAAAATGGGGAAAATAACAGTATCTCCCTCATAGGGCTGTTACTCAGATGAGATGAGAAGCCTGGCCTATAGCCACCACCATCATCGTCACCAACACCATCACCATCATCATCACCACCACCATCACCATCATCAATAGATGCCCAAGAAACATTTATTACATTAAAGCATAAACTATGCATGTTATGTTTTGATACGGTATACACTTTCAGAAATGTGTCACTATTGTGGTGGGTTAAAATTTACAAAGTGTTTTTTACCTGCATTTTGAATTGATCCTCACCCTTCGACTGCAGTGTATACAGGGGATTTGAGGTGGATAGAAGACCAGCTAAGGGGGCTGGCATCAAAGTCCCGCATATTTAGGAGATGGAGGTTGGGTGGGACAGAGGGCCTGGAGTGCTACAGGGTGAGCGCTGAGGGCCGGGCTGGGTGTCATAGGGTGAGTTAGCGCTGAGGGCTGGGCTGGGTGTCACAGGGTGAGTGAGCACTAAGGACCGGGCTGGATGTCACAGGGTGAGTTAGCGCTGAGGGCCGGGCTGGGTGTCACAGGGTGAGTGAGCACTGAGGGCCGGGCTGGGTGTCACAGGGTGAGTGAGCACTGAGGGCCGGGCTGGGTGTCATAGGGTGAGCACTGAGGACCAGGCTGGATGCTTACCTGGAGCTTGCTCTTCCGCTGTAGGAGGCTGTTATGTAGCAGGTCTCGGGTCCTCATGGAGTTTGCCGCCTGCTCCAGGAAGCCTGTGGCTCGTTCCTGGCCCAGGATGCTGCTCAGCAGATCTGTCTTCAGCTGCAGCACGGCCAGCTGCCCCTTCAGGCGGGAGCTCTCTGCCAGGGCTGCCTGTGGGAGACAGGCCTTGGTCAGCCCCTTGACCCTGCCTGCAGGGCAGGACAGCTCAGCCAGGGCTAGGAGCACAAATGTGTCGGCTATAGCTGCTGAGGAAGCTGGTCCTTGACTGGTTCCCAAGGACAAAGAAGAAACACAGAGCAGTTCTGGATGAGTAGGGACTTGGCTTGCAGGGACGTTTGGGGGAACTATGAGTGTAAGGATCACCTATGAGTCCTCTCATAGCCCATCTGTCCACATTCTCCTCAACCAGATGCTGAGATTCCGACCTCAGAATACTGACTAGACCACGGACTGCCAGAAGAATAAACAAATCTGTGCTAGAGGTCCAACCTGAATGTTCCTTAGAAGCAAAGTCGTTGAGACTTGATCTCACATACGTTGGACGTGTGATTGAGAGGGACCAGTCAGTGAAAGAAAGGATGACCCCTCCCCCAATGAGATGACCACTGACACCGTTGGCCCCACCATTGGTTTCAGGCGGAAGGGTTTTTGGGGTTGTTGTTGACTGAGCATGCTCTGTTCCCTTGGACCAGGAACCAACATGGTAGCACCGAGCAACAAACCAATGTCCCAGAAGGAGCCCCTGGTGCCGCGGGTAAAGGAAAAGGAAGCAGTTTGAACCAGCTCCTTTACGGGAGAAAGATGAGGCAGTCTGCTCATAAGATTGTTATTGTTGAGTGCTGTCAAGTCGTTTCCGATCCATAGCGCCCCTGTATAGGGTTTCTGAGGAGCAGCTGGTGAGCTTGAACCACCAACCTTGCAGTTCAAATGGCTTTGCAGGGCCTTGGAAACCCCATGGGGCAGCTCTAGTCTGTCTTAGAGGGTTGTTAAACGTCAGAACTAACTCTAGGGTAAAATGCCTCAGAAAGAACCCTGGTGGTACAAACAGTTAAGCACCTGGCTGCTAACCCAAAGGTTGGTGGTTTGAACTCATCCAGTGGGTCCATGGAAATACCTGGTGATCTGTTCCCCCAAAACCACAGCTTAGAAAGCCTTATGGGGCGGGCAGTTCTACTCTATTTGAAGACAGCGTGAGTCAGAATGGACTTCATAGCACTCAGTGACAACAGCTGTCTCAGGGACTGTCTCCTTCCACCCCTCTGCTGCTGCCTGTGATACACACCCCCAGCCTGTGCCCATGGGCACCCCACTGTCCCACCTTCACCCCCTTTCACCAAACCCAGATACAGTGGGCTGGGGAGTTGTAGTCCTGAGCCAATCTATCTCATTGGGGGGATGGGGAGGGTCTTCCTCTTTTTCACTGAACTACTTTACTGAGTGTGGTGTCCTTCTCCAGGGACTGGTCCCTCCTGACAACATGTCCAGGTAAGGTATGTGAGATAAAGCCATGCCCACACTGCAATCAGACCCAATCCCACACATATTGAGCCTCCACGTGCAGGTTTCCCATCACCGACAGCCCTGGGACCACCCAGGCAATGTTGTGGGAATTTTGAGGGGAGCACAGTCAGAAGCACTGAGTCCAGACTGGCGGATGGGAGGGGAGGAATACAGGAGGGCTTCCTGGAGGAGGTGACACCCGAGCGGACCTCTGACATAGGAGCTTCCCAGAGGAAGAGGAGGCCTGTGGGGTCAATGGGTACCCCCAAAGCACTCTGCACAGGCCCTGCCCACCTCCTCCAGGGAGCCCACAATGACCACATACCCAGCCCACAGTCACCTCTTCTCACGCCCAACCCCAGGAAGCTTTTGGCCTTCTAGCTATCTGGGGAAAGGCGTGGTAGCTGCTTCCATGGAGATGAAGCCCTAGAGGGCAGTTCTACCCTGTCCCGTGGGGTGGTTTTGAATTGGAATTGACTCGACAGCACACAACAGCAACACCAGGAGATTTGGACCGGTTCACTAGCCCCTCCAAGCCTCAGTTTCCTCATCTGTAAAATAGAGCTAGTCATATCCCAGCTCTCGGGATTGTCATGAGGTCTGGGTGCACCGATGTCTATAAAGCACATAGCACAGAGCATGACCCCGCACGGGAAGCACCAGGGAAAGGCGACCCTCCCACTATCTTTACTTAATCAGCCATGCACTACTTTGGGGGCTCAGCCAAGTCCTGGAGGACAGATGCATGCCACCCACCAGTCACTCCAAGGCCACATGCAGAAAAGGCAGGGTTTGCTGCTGGGGCCCTAACTGGTGGACTCCTTCCTGCTGGAGCAGACGGGAGATGCTGATGCAAAACCCACGAGCAATGGTGTTCAAATATGAACGAGCCAAAGTTCAGTCATTGCACACTGAGCCTCCTGCTCTGAAGTCCACATTCCAGAAAGAACCTCTCTTTCCCTGCCTTGTGGAAGTCCAGGTTTGCTTTCTACGGTGGCAGTGGGCGTGGGGGTGGGGGGAGGAAGAGGGGCAGATTGAGAAGCCCATTGTGGCACGGAAGGGAAGCACTTGCCTTGGCATCAAACAGGCTGTGTGTGGTGCAGAGAGATGGACCCTGTCTCTGAATGGCTGTGAGCCATTGGGCAAGTCATTTCCTTTCCTCTGGGACTTGGTTTAATTTAAACAACAGCCAAGTAACAATATGAACATCATTTTTGTCCTGATGTTGAACAAGAACCCTAACTATTCCCTGGTTCTGATCCCTCTAGAGGCCCTGGAGTGGCATCAATGGTTTATGTCAGCTACTGACCTGGTGTGGTGCTTTGGGTTAATGCACTGGACTGCAAGGTCGACGGTTCAAACTCACTTGCTGCTCCTTGGAAACCCAATACAGGGTCCCTATGAATTGGAACCGACTCCATCACATTTAACAAAAACAACCTTAAGTTGGTGGTTCCATGGGAGAAAGGCTTACTATTGGTTTCTGGTAAAATTACCCTACAGCTAAGACAAGTCTGTGGAGCAGTTTGTCAGCAACACAAGGGGTCGCCATGAATTCGGGTCAGCTCCATGGCAATGGGTTTGCCTTTTGGCTTTGTCTCCCTCATATGCAAAATAGGGACTGGGGGGGCCTAAACAGTAAAAATGGAGAAAATTGTTGATTTTTGTTCATTGTGACAACAACGTATTAGACACAGTCTAATATATCTCTGGTAGTGTAGTGGTTACAAATCAGGCTGCTAACCTCAGGGTCAGCAGTTCAAAACTACCAGCTGTTCCATGGGAGAAAGATGAAGCTTTCTGCTCCCGTAAAGATTTACAGCCTCGGAAACCCTGTACAGGGTCGCTATGGGTCAGAACCGACTCCACGGCACATAACAACAACAACAATATATGTCTAATTAATAATGGATGCATTAAATAAATTATGGCATGTCCAAAGACCTGAATATCATGCAGACACTAAACATGAGGATTGTTTTTTGTTTTTTCTTTCATGTTTTTATTTGCGGGAAAGTTCCCAATGGTTCATATGAGGTCTATTTTTGAATGATATTAAATGATGCTAAGAAAAACCTCATACATGTAGAGTGAGGATATCAGAACATACAACTAAATCAGAGGGTCCCATCCCAAAGATACAAAAGGAGTCCTGTAGGGTAAGCACTGGACTGCTAACCGCAAGGTCGATGATTCAAACCCACCAGCCACTCTCAGAAACCCTAGACAGGGTCACTAAGAATCAGAACCAAGTAGATGGCATTTAGACGACAACAACAAAACAAAAAACTTGTAATTCGTTCATTAAACATCTGTCTGTTGGTTACCCTGGTTCGTGAAAATGGCCAGAGGTGTTTTCATTAGCTGTAAAGGGTGGGTTTGGGATTGTCTGACCTAAAATTGAGGTTTGTAGCATAGGTGCAACTCACTTTGAGGAGTCCAGGGGAGTACCTCCTGCAGATAAACCCCTAATCCTTCCACTGAAGCTGAGCACCAGGTGCCACAGAAACCCAGGAAGGAAGGGCCAAGCTGTGCAGATTAAAGCCCAGGGGTAGGGAAACAAACTTCCCTTCCAAGGTGAGCTCCAACTGGAAAAGCCCAAAGGGAGACACTCCAAAATGCAGGGACTAAGCAGGGTGCTCTGCGTGCTGAGGACTGACCTATGTTAATAATTCTCCCAGGACTACCAAGTGGGGCAGAAAATGTCAGGGAAAAAGTGAACTGAATGTTAACAGTGGACCCATGGAGGGTGGATTTGTGGGTATGTTTTTATTTCCTCTTCACAAATATTGGCTTTCTCCAACTAGGTGTGATTCTCACAAGAATGAAAATAGGGATGGAACTGAGGCCTATGTGATATGCTCTTGGAGTTTCTCATCACTCTAGGAATCTTGGGACCTCCAAATGTGCAAGTGTTGCATTTGAATGAACTTCAAAGCTCAAGGATTCCATTAGACAAGGTTTACGGGCAAATCAGAGCAACCGTGTGAGTGATTGATGGCAAACACTTGGCTGCTTGCCCAACAACCAGTCCTCTCTCTACCTCACCACAGAACCCAGATGGAGTTTCAGTGGCAAAGCGTCTGCCCAGAGCTACGAATCTAATGCATAAAGCCAGTCACAGCAACACAACTTCCTCAGCCAGTGATTGGTCCAGAGATGTTCATATGACCTGGTCTGGCCAATGGGATGTAAGGAGAAGTCTACTGCTGAGGGCTTCTGGGAAGGATGTGCCTCCCTGTTGAAAGACAGGGACGGTGATGGAGAGTGCCCTCTGACCTTCACCACTCATGTATGTTTGGGATGGTGGCGCCATCTTGGGGCCTTGAAGGGAGACATGGCTTCCATACTGAGGACAGCAAAACAGAGTCTGAAAGTCTGGGATCTTTAGTTGAGTATCTCTGCTTTAAGCCTCTGTTGGTCAGGGTTTTGTTACTTGCAGACACCAAACTAAAAAAATCTAAATTGGTTGCCTTCCAATGGATTCTGTTTTATATAAGTCAAAGTAGGTCGGATCTCCACAGGGTTTACAAAGGCTGACTTTTCTGAAGTAGATCCCCAGAACAGCTGTCAACCTTTGGGTTAGCACTGGTGGTTTTGTACCCCCGAGTCAGTTCTGACTCATAGAGACCTTGTATAGGGTTTCTGAAGCTATAAATCTTTACGGGAGCAAAAAGTCTCATCTTTCTCCAATGGAGCAACTGGTAGATTCAAACCACTGACCTTGCAGTTAGCAGTTCAGCTCACAATCCACTATGCTACCAGGGTTCCTTCAGACTCTGATATCTGCTCTTGAGAGCTGTTGTTGTTGTTACATACCATTGAGTTGGTTCCAACTCATAGCCACCTTGAATAGAGTTTCTAAGAACCAACTTGTGGGTTTGAACCACCTGTCTTGTGGTTAGTGTTCCTGTGATTATCCTACAGTACCATACCAGGATTCCCTTGGGTTAGAAGCCAAGTGAATTAACCATTTATACCAGGGATTCCTAATAAAGTAATACTGTTGTTGTTATGTATTGTTGAGTTGGTTCTGACTCATAATAGCCCTGTATAGGGTTTCCAAGGAGTGGCTGGTGGGTTTGAATCACTGACTTTGTGGTTGCCAGTCCAGAGCCTATCCCACAGTGCCACACCAGAATTCATGTCGTGATGAGAACACAGAAACATGAGAAAATGTCATAAAAACAGTGCGGCCACAGGAATTCTAGTTGTGACCTGAGATGGGGTCCTGAGGGGAAGGAGGAGTTCAGGGCAGGTAGGTGAAGGGCACTGCAGAACTCTTAGGTCACCCAGCTCATCTGTGGCTCCTTCTATCCAAGAACCGAGTGGCCTTTGTGGCCAATAACAATTACTGTGAACTCAGACCCGGTCCACCTAGCCTTATGCAGACACCTGCAAGGTGGGGGACAGGCCTTTCCCAGTGGGAGAGACGAGAATGCCTGTCCCAGCAGCTGCCCCAGCCAGTGCTGCTGGCTGCTCGCTCACCTCGATCTGGGGCAGGAAGGTGTGGATGGAAGGCAGGTCCGGCAGGCTGGCTGTGATATCCAGGAGCTTCTGGGCCAGAGCCCTCCACAGCTCCAGGTCCTGCAGGGGTCGCTGGAAGCGCTGCCAGAGCCCCACGGCCGCTGCGTTGCGCAGCCTGGTGCTCTGCGCCTTCATGCTGCAGCAAGAGGAGAGGGAGGAGAGACAGAGGGGTCAGGCCAGGAGTGAGCTTAGCCCAGAATCCCAGGGACCAGAGGGTGCAGAGACTGCCTATGACAAGAAACAAAAGACGCACACTGAAGGCACAACGTATGGTTAATTGTTGTTAGGTGCCAACTCATAATGGTCCTATGCACAACAGAGCAAAACACTGGCTAGTCCTGCTTCGTCCCCACAATTGTTATACTGAATCCATTGTTGCACCATCTCTGACAATGTTTTGCTGCTCTTTGTAAGGTTTTACCCTTCCAGCACTGTATCTGACCATGTTCCGCTCTTATTCCTCAAGTTTTCAGTGGCTAACTATTCAGAAGCACTCAGCCTTTGTCTAGAAACTTCCCTGAAACCTGTCCATCCTGGGTGATCTTGAAGGCATTTACAATACTAGACGCATAGTTTTCGGCATCACAGCAACATGCAAGCTACCACAGTGCCACAAACTCACAGACCAGTGGCTGTTGATGTTAAGTGCCATCGAGTTGGTTCCAACCCAGAGCGAACCTGGAGCAGCCGGTGAGCTTGAACCACAGACCTTGCAGTTCAAACCAACTTTGCAGTCCAGCGCATTAACCCACAGCACCACACCAGGACTCCATGGTGTTGTATGGTTAATAGTAACATGGAAAGGTGTAGGCCACTGATCTTGAGTCTTCCCAATGACAAACACTGGGGCTCTCATATAAATTAGATGAGTGGTCTGGGGTCCCGGAGTAAAAGGCTGGGAATATGAAGTCAGACTGATCAGAAGTGTTACCTCAAATAGCCTATAATAGCTCCATGACTGTGAGCCTCAGTTCTCTCACCTGTGACATAGGGGACACAGAGCCACCATAGAGCCACCATCAGTACCACAGGATGTACCACTGAGAAAAGTTCTTTTAATTCAGAAGAGTAAATTGAAATCTAATACCCAATGCTACTTTTTTCTTGAGGGCATTTGCCAACCCGGAAGAGAAAACAGCTGCAAAATTAAACTGTGCTTCTGGCAGGGTGAGGGGACAAGAGTCAAAGGTCAGATCCTGATGACCATGGCCCACTTTGGGTAGAACCTCAGTGGTCTATGATGGGAAGTAAGTCAGTCTTCAGACAGATCTGCATGACCAGGGAACCGCAAGTGTTGAAAACAGGCTCAGTGGACTGGGACTTAGGAACAAGCCAACCATCATCCCAGGTCCAAATAATGCCTGCAAACACCTTCCCAAACAGAATGCCCAGCCCATAATCCTGGATACTCAGACACAAGAGCTAATAAGACACCATGCCTGAGAACCCAGGCTGCAGCCGATAAACACAAAGACCAGAGCTATTAAAGTAATGAGATCCAGACTATAAACAACCATGTTCACGGAAATAAAATTCAAGCTTGAGCATTTCTGCAGAAAAGAAACATCATTTAAAGTAGCAATGTGTTTTTGTTTGTTTGTTTTTTTTAAAAAAAGTCCCAATAGAAAATTTGGAACTGATGTTGCCTGCCAAGTATTCAGTGTTGGGAACGATTCCATATCTCTGCAGAGGGCTGGTGTTTGAACTTGTGAATCATATATCCCAGGTGCCCACAGGAAGCTCTGCCGGATATCTGACTGAATTCAATTCAACATGTACTGGAAAGTTCCACCATGCCAGGCTAGGAGAGCGCAGAAATGACTCAGAAACAACTTTTGTCCTCACGATACTCTCAGGCCATGGGGGGGTACTGAACATGATGGTTTATGAAAGTTCAACAGGAGTACTGAGGAGGCAATGAGGGGCAGGGGCAAGCAAGGAGGGCTTCTCGTAAGAGGTGACCTTGGCCAGGTGTTCAAGAGGAAGGAGGTATTGTGGGCAGAGGGCACACCAGATGCATAAGCAGACAGTGTGCCTCAAGATCCCCAGGCAGTGTGGTGGGGTATCACGGAGTGGAAAGGGGTGCTGAAGGCAAGTGGCAAGCATACAACTAAGGAGCTCTGGTAACGTAGTGGTTACGAATCGGGCTGTGAACCTCAGGGTCAGCAGTTCAAAACTACCAGCCGTTCCATGGGAGAAAGATGAGGCTTTCTGCTCCTGTAAAAATTTACAGCATCGGAAAGCCTGTACAGGGTCGCTATGAGTCAGAACCGACTCCACAGCACATAGCCACCACCACCAAGGAGGCCAGACTTCATCCATAAAAAAAGACCCCTGAGGACTCTAGTCAGTAGATGACATCATCAGCCCTTGGGACCAAGAGAAGGTTCTGGCAGTCATTTGTGGGGTGGAGTGGGGAGGCCGGCTAGTTAGGAGGGAAGGGCGTTGGCATGGGCCCTTGCAGGGTTGGGGAGAGGCCCAGTGAACGAGACTCCTAGGAGAACCAGTGCCAGAGGGCCCAGCAGGCCGAGCCCGAGTGTCCGGGCCTTGTTTAAACCTTAGGACCAACAGCAGCCTCCAGTATAGCAGCTGGGACAAGCCCAGACACACTGGAGGAATCCTGTCAACCAGTCACCTGCTTGGTGATTATGAAACAGATGTCAGGGACCGACCTGCGTTGTGCTGGCTCTGGACAAAGCAAAGAACTAAAAGAAACCCATTACTGTCAAGTCAAGGCGCTCTGGTAGCGTAGCGGCTACAAACTGGGCTTGCTAACCTCAAGGTCAGCAGTTTGAAACTACCAGCTGTTTCCTACAGATTTACAGCCTCGGAAACCCTATGCAGTGTTGCTATGAGTCGGAACCAACTCCACAGGCACATAAGCACCACTGCCACGATCACTGTCAAGTTGATTCGGACACACGCTGGGGTCAAGCGTTTTGGTTCACAGTCAAGCACTTTAACCATGGTGCCACCTGAACTGCTGACCAGAAAGCCCAACTAGCATTCCTCAGTGGTCTCAACTCCTGCCCTAGTCACAAAGGCCTCCCACCCGCTCATGGGATCTAGGAATGACTGGATTAGCAGACTTACAGGAGGAAGCAAGCATTCCTTCAGAGATGGGGAGATGGGGCTGGTGTTCCCGCCCACCTCCTGCTCCCCATCTCCATCCCCTCACCCCCAGTACCTCTGATACTCCTGCAGGGCAGCGACCACACTGCTGGAGAGAGGCTGTAGGTCCTCAGAGAAGACGAGAAGGTCCTTCAGCTGAACCTGCAGCCAGTCCACCCGGGGCTCCTCCGCAGTCAGCGCCGCCCGCGTCGCCTGAGGAACATGGTGCATTGAGAGTAAGGGTCCCAGTCAGGAGGAAGGCAACCTGTGAAACCCAGGCCAAGGACTGGGGACCCCACTGAGGGCTCCACCCCAGTTCTGGCTCTCCCTGCCTGACACTAGGTGATTGGGAACTAGGCAGCTACACTTTTATTTTTATTATTACTTTATTTTTATTATTTATAGTTGTTCATCTCACTTACTTTGGACATGTTCTGTTTGGACAGTCCTTAGAGACGGACATCATGCTTGGTAAAACAGAGGCTCATTAGGGGGAAGAAGAGAAAGACCCTCCCTGCGATGGGCTGACACAGTGGCTTCAGCTATTGGCTCAAACCACACAACTGTGAGGATGGGCCAGGATGGGGCGCTGTTTCGTTCTGTTGCACATGAGGCTGATAGGAGTCAGAACTGACTCGATGGCACTTGGTGACAACAGGTTCCAACATATTGAGACCCCTGCATAGGGCATCCGAGAGCAGCTGGTGGGTTTGAACTGTTGGCTTTGGGGTTAGCACTCCAGTACTTATACCACACTAAGGTAAGGCTGCTCACGTATATCCAAAGCATCTGGATACTGCAAACCGTTCACACTCTCTCAGTTGCTACAGTTGCTAACTGAAACGTTGGAGTTTAGAATCCACCCCGAGGTACCTTGGAGAAAGGCGTAGCGATGTACATCAGCAAAATCAGCCATTGAGAACACTATGGAAGCCGGTTCTGCTCTGACACACATGAGGTCCTCATGAGTCAGAACTGACTCTGTGGAAATTGGTTTTAGAAAGTGTCTATATTGTTGCTGTTGTTAAGTGCCGTCGAGTTGTTTCCCACTCAAAGTGACCCTGTATAGGGTTTCTGAGGAACAGCTGGTGAGTTTGAACTGCCAACCCTTCGGTTCAAACTGACTTTGCAGTCCAGCACATTAATCCACAGCACCACACCAGGACTCACTATCTATCTATCTATCGATCAATCGATCGGTCAATCAATCAGCACTGGACTGTGAAACACACGGTCAGTCCTTCAAGTCCACCAGGTGATCTTTGGAAACCCTACAGGGTCACTATGAGTCGGAACCAATTCGGTGGCACTTAACAACACATATGTTGTTGTTAGGTGCTGTTAAGTCAGTTTCCACTCATGGCAACCCTGTGTAGGCTTTCCGAGGCTTTAAATCTTCATGGGAACAGTGCTTGTAAACATAAACCTGATGTTGGATCCCAGGTGGTCTGATTCTCAAGCTGCCTCTTAAACATGGAATGAATGATGCACCAGAGAGATACCGTCATTATCTTCAGGCCTAGAATAAATTTCTTCTACATTCGCTGTGGTGTGGCACTGTAATATTAGCCCTGGACCATGAACCACAAGGCCGGCGGTTCAAACCCACCAGCCACTACTCCTCAGAAACCCTATACAGGGTCACTATGAGTTGGAACCAATTCGACAGCACTTGACAACAACGCCTGCCATCCTGTTGATACTGACTCTTGGTGACCCTATATGTGTCAGAGTACAACTGTGGCCCATAGGGTTTTCAGTGGCTAATCACTGGGATTTTCTTCCAAGGCACCTCTGGGCAGACTTGAACTGCCAACTTGATGGTAGCGGCTGAATATGTTTACTATTTGCACCACCCTGGGACTCCTCATTCCTGCTGACTGCCCCTAATTGCTTCCCTCCCCTCCCCAGCCCCCCAGGACTTCCAGGATGTGAGTTTGTGTTCAGACATTTCTGACTTTGCTGTCCTGGGAAGTGTGGAGATTGACCTCCACCTTACTCAGCCCACACGAGGAGGAGGCACGGTGGAGTTGTGGAAATGCTCAGCCTTTGGTATAAAACAGCCTGGCTTGGAGGCCCACCTCTACCCATTCCTAGTACAATGGGCTGCTCCCAGCAGCCTCACGGGCAGGCAGTAGGGACGACATGCGTGGTACTCAGTACAGAGTAGAGCCCAGCTGGTCGGCCTGCAGGGCAAGTGAAGGATTCAGCTGAGGGTGAGGGGCAGCAGGACCATGGGCATTGTTGGGAGGTAGGCCTGTCCAGAACCCAGCAAGGCCGTGTCAGCCTAATGCTGTGTCAAGGACTCATGGATCAGAGGGTGGCCAGGGAGCTCCTTTGAGGAGACGGCCCCACAACCGGGTGTCCTAGAGAAGCATTATCTGCTCTAGGCAGCTGCCCTGTTTGTAAGGGGCCCTTCCGGCTCTCACAAGACATATGTGTTCCAATCAAATCATCTGTAGTTTGTTGATCTGGGATGCTCAGGAGGGCGGCTTCCATAGGTGGCTGTATTTCTGGCCCGACCCGTTCAGCCAGGAAACTCTCTGATGTCACCATTATGTGTTGCATCTCCTGAGCCCATGAGTCACCCAGCCTTATCAGCAGGGTGTCCTTGGGGGGGACTGCTGGGCACCCGCCTGTGGTCACAACTGATGCTGTGCCCAAGGTCCCTGTGGGTGATGTTCTAAAACCGGGAGCCGTGGTGGTGGAAGCAGTAGCCGTGAACTTGCCCGGGGTCAAGTTCACAGCCTCATAACCTGGGGAAAGTCAGCTAGCCTGGCAGTACCTCAGCTTCCTCATCCATAAAGTGGGCTGATGACAGTCACCAGTGCTCAGGGGTTAAGGCAATCAGACCAGCAGGGATGGATGAGTGAGAGGTCCCATCACCTGTCTTGAGGCAGACGCCCTTCACAAACTGTCTGGAAATGACCACACTTGCCCAAAATATGCCTGTTTCTTAAGACAGGGAAACATTGCAGATTTCTTTACCTCAGAGACCTGGGGGGCAGCAATGACTGTGTGTCATTGTGAACTCTCAACATACAGAGGATGCCACCGAGAACACCTGCTCACCGAGTAGAGTCTCCAACGGGCCATCAGCTCATCCTCACTTCCCGCCTCCACTTCAGGCTGCAGACCCTCGGCCAGCCTCTGGAGCCCCTTCCGGAACTCTCCGAGATTGGCCTCCAGTTGCCTGATCTGCCATTCGTGGGCATGCTTGGATTCCAGAGCGTTCCGCAGCCTCTCCTCTTCCTCCCCACAGAGGCCTCGCAGCTTCTCCAGAACTTTCCGCAGCTCCTCCAGCTCTGCAGTGATCTTCTCCGCACCCAAAGGAGAGGTATTCTGGATGACCCCCAAGGACTGTTCCTCCAGCTTCTTCAAGGACCCCTCACCCCTGGGAAACTCTTTGGCAATGTCCTGAAGGAGTCAGAGCGTCGAATGAAAAAGACAGGGGAAAAAATATGAAATGTTTGCTATAGGACAAGTACTCGACCTCAAGGTCAGTTTGAACTGCAAGGTTGGTGGTTCAAGCTCACCAGCCGCTCTTTGAAACTATACAGGGTTACTATGAGTCAGAACCAACTCCATGGCACTTAATAATTTCCTACAGTCCCCAGGAAAGTTATGTTACCTTCCTACATGACAACATGGGGGCTTCCCAAGGGGTAGACTCTACAATAAACTGTACAGATTGAGAACCAGAGAGCCATTCCATTCCACAGTCATTTATATGCAAATGATGTGTGCATATCTTTTTAAGGAAGACAGAGGCTGCCTCAGGCTTGTCCCCTCAGTGGGGACAGTATGGAAGGAAATAGAATAGAATCTGGTGCTCCATTTCGGGCAGTGATGTCTATTTTCTTTCTAAATAAATGTTCATCCCGATTTGTTTTTAAAGCTTTAATAAATAGTCCAGGTGCTACACAGCTGTGGCAAACACTGCAAAGTTATCCTTAAATTACCTGAGATATCGACTTAATGTGCTGGATCAAGAGGTCAGTTTGAACCTCAAGGTTAGCAGTTCAAGCTCACCAGACACTCCTTGGAAACCCTATACTGGGTTGCTATGAGTCGAAATTGACTCGATGGCATTTAACAACACTGGAGATCAGCTGCCCACTCACTTTACAGGAGTGGGGGTGGGTGTCAGCGGTTCATTCAAGGCCACACGGCAAGTCAGAGAGGCTGGGGAGACCCAACTTCTCCCCCACAATGGGGACTGAAGCCCCTTTGTCTACACCCGGGCTCCCCAACTTCAAGGCCATTGACCAGGGGCGGGATCATTCTCTGGTGTGATGGGCTGCGCTGGACCCTGTAGGATAAGGTGCATCCCCTCCACACTTGTCACAACCAATGCCTCTGGACATTGTCCCCTGGGAGCAAAATCGCCCTGTTGGACCCCACGGACGGTCACACCATTGTGCTGTGGTCTTGAGTTTTCAAACGTGCTGCCGGGGTCAAAAGTCAAAACCAAACCCACCTCCATCTATTCTGATGTGACCCTGTATTGTTTGTTGTTAAGTGCCAACAAGTCAGTTTCAACTCATAGTGAGCCTGTGAGCAACTGGTGGGTTTGAACTACTAACCTTGTGGTTAGCAGTCTAGTGCTTATCCTACAGAGCCACACCAGGTTAGAGTAAAGCTGTCCCATAGGGGCTTCCAAGGAGTGTGGTGTGGCTCTACAGGCTATGCAAAGTCAGAAGTTCAAGCCTACCAGCAGCTCCTTGTAAGCTCTATACAGGGTCACTATGAATCAGAAAAAAATTAACACCACCACAAGGCTTCCAAAGCTGTGGTTTTTATAGAAGCTGACTGCCACAGTTTTCTCCCGCAGAGTGGCTGGTGGGTTCGAAACTCTGACCTATCGGTTAGTACTGAGGTCTTAAGATTTCCATAAAGCAGCCTTGGCTGGAATAGTGTTTGCTAGGCCCCATGCTTCTCCACCTGGGAGGCCTGTATGTCGTGGATGTTTGTATCTCCCACGTCAGCCTAGGAAACATGTCCCCTAACAGAGCACCTGGAGCAGACCCTGGGGCCCCGTGGTGGAGGCCCAGCCCGGTACCTGCAGGGTGGAGAGGCGTTGCTGGTTGGGCATCTTGCAGGTCCGCCCCAGGCAGCCATCCACCTTCTCCACCAGAGCCCGTAACCACAGCTGGAAGTCGTCCACGCCCGCCTGGTACTTCGCGTGCTTCTGGGCCACCTCCTGCAGTAGGTCCACCCGGTCCTGTGGGAAGGACAGAGGTCACCAACCATGAGTGTCCCGAGCCTGGACTCAGGAAATCTGCAGCCTGCCTGTGTGCAAGGCTGCTGTGTCAGAGGAGGATTTCCAACGGCTGATTTTCCTCAGTGCCAAGCCCTTCTTCCTTGTGTCTTTGGGTGGGCACGAACATCCGACCGTTGGGTTAACAGTCGAATTCTCGAACTGTTTATGACTTCTGGGAACTTGACAATAATGGTGAGTCGCTGTTTACTGCCCCTACCCTCTCTGTGTCAGAAGAAGTTCAACCAGAATGCTCTTTTGAAACAAGCATGGTGAGACTTTGTCTCTCATTTGTTGTTGTTGTTGTTAGGTGTCATCGAGTCAGCACCGACCCATAGCGACCTTAAGCACAGCAGAACGAAACACTGCCGGATCCTGGGCCACCCTCACTACTGTTGCCACACTTGAGTCCATCAATGCTGCCACTTTGCCAATCCATCTCGGTGGGCATCTTCCTCTTTTTCTCTGACCCTCCACCTTACCAAACATGATATCCTTCTCCAGCAACTGTCTCTCATACTTCAGACATATTTATTATCAGGTGGGACCAGTCCCTGGAGAAGGATATCATACTTGGTAAAGTGGGGGGGGTCATCGAAGAAGAGGAAGCTATAAAAATGTAAAAAAAAAAATTCTATAACTTAACAATATAAAAAAGATAAACCATCCAATTAAAAATGGGCAAAGGACCTGAATGGACATATCACCAAAGATGGGCAACAAACACACAATTGTCTGCTGTTGTTGTTGTCTTCTGTCCAGTCAATTCCAACTCATAACTGGCCCATATGACAGAGCTGAATTTTCCCACGGGGTTCCCTAAGCATCACCCTTAAGGCAGCAGATCACTGGCTCTTTCTCCCATGGAGCAAAACCTCGGAATTAGTGGGTAGGAGGGGGGGGGGGGGGGGTTGGGATTAGGGAACACTGGGTTTCTGTTACTTGTGGTAGAATCATTTGATAAAGGAAGATGACAATGATCCTACTACTTGAAGAATGTCATCAGTGGTACTGAATTATACATGCAGAAACTGTAGAAATAAATAACAAAAACAAGCTCAAACAAGAAAAAGAAAAAAAAAAGAGGAAACCCCTAATGCGGGGGACTGTCACAGTGGTAGTTGCAATGAGCTCAAACGTAACAGAGTTGTGAGGGTGGGTCAGGACGGCGCAGTGTTTTGTTCTGTTCCGTTGTGCATGCAGTCGATATGTGTTGGAACCAACTTCACAGCACCTAACCACTAACAATCTTCTCTGTGCTTTTGGCACACCTTGTGAGGACTGGCTCAGCCACGCCCCACGCCTCTCTGGCTGCAGGTCAAACAAATGCAATGTCTTGCCCCCTCTGGGGAATGCTAACCCCCTTCCCTGATGCTCTGTTAATTCACCCTTCCCTCTGTGTTCCCCAAAACTCTGGGGGAAGCCTGTTGTAGCACTTGTCTTCTGTAACCGGCAGGTCAAGTCCTGCCCCTGACAATTTTGTCTATAGGGTCCCCTCTAGCTGGCTTTAAGAATACAAATCTTTAAGGAAGCCAACTACTGTATCTGCCAGACCCTCTGCCCAAACTAGAGGAGATTCTAAAAGAAGGATGGAGTTTGGGGGGTGGTGGGGAGGAAGACCTTCATTGAATCAGCACCTACTATGTGCCCAGAGAAAGAGCTCTAGTAGCATAGTGGTTATGAGTTGGGCTGCTAATCTTAAGGTCAGCAGTTCAAAACTACCAGCCGTTCCACGGGAGAAAGAGGAGGCTTTCTGCTGACGTAAAGATTTACCGTTTCGGAAATCCTATACAGGGTGGCTAGGAGTCAGAACCGACTCTACGGCACACCACCACCACCACCATGTACCTGGAGAAAAGGTGTTCTGGTGGCACTGTGGGATAAGCACTGGACTGCTAACCGCAAGCTCGGCAGTTCAAACCCACTAACTAGCTGCTCTTGGGAAGAAAGATGTGGCATTCTGGCAGACAGCCCTGAACCCCCTATGGGACAGCGCTCCTCTGTCTTTTTTTTTTTTTTTTTTCTTCAGTCAACAATATTTTTTTCATTTCTTTTTTTTTTTTTTTCTTAAATGTTTTATTGTGAATTATGTGATAGTTTACATGGGAGAACATTAGTTTTACATTCATGCTATCATATATCATCTCACATTGCCATGGTTACAATCCTCTCCATACAATCCTTCCCCCTGTACCCCCCAGGTCTTCAGCACACAGTAGCTCTCCCTCTCTGGATCTAAAGTCTCCAGCTGCTCCATCGCTTCACGTCATCGTCTCTGTCTCCATTTCAGGCATCACTGCTTCTCTGGGTAGGGTCCTGCTCTCTGCTCTTCTCCCTTGATGGTCCTAGGGACCTCCGCTCCTAGACTGAAAAGTTAATCACTCCTCTCCTTGCTATAAAACGTCTACCTTTACATTTCCGACCCTCACAATCAGTCCTGATAACAATTATTCACTATTGTGACTATAGGTGGAAGCCTGAACCACATCCAGATCTCCACAGATGGGAAATTTCCACTTGAAAGGACAAGCAGACCAGCCTGGAGCGGCTAGGAGAACAGAAGATACTTCTTGAAAGAAAGACATACAGGAAAAATATAAAACAACGTGGGCATACCGACTGTTACTACAAGAACAAGCAACTTGCTTGCCCTGGAAACATCAAGGCAAGTGGTCAGGTCCCCTCAGTGCAAACCCCCTTCCAAGACTAAGACTCAATGGGAATACACACTGTGGTTGGTGACCACACTCGACACCGATAAGGTGAAGTGAGGGAAAAACAGCAATGAAGTGGAGAGCTAAGCCCTACAACGTTCAATAAACTTCTGTGAACCTGGGTGAAGACCTGGTTGACCAGCAGTGTGGCAAGACTTGGGGACTCTTGGGCCCAGAGTCAGTGACATAGCCACAGCTTTCTATGGTGATGCTTTTCGCTATTCCTTTCTCTCCCCCTCCAGTGTCTATTTTATAATATAATGCAAGGAAAACCAAGATTCAAAAGACAGCCAAGCATCTTAATATTATTCCCCTCTTTTCCCCATTCCAACCATGGCTCAATCTCTGTATCCCAGAAGCTCCTCTGTCTTAAAGGGTCTCTATGAATTGGCACCGACCACAGAAACAGGGTCTGTATTCTAAAGAGTGGACCTTGAGTGTTTCTGGCCTCCTGTTCTGGGAACAACCCTGGATGGAGAGCAGGTTCCTGTGGGATTATTTGTATCCATCAAAACCCTAACAGGTTCATCACATACCTCATCTGTACCACGTATGTGGAACCTCATCTCATGCCTCATCTGTACCACGTATGTGGAACCTCATCTCATGCCTCATCTGTACATGTATGTGGAACCTCACTTCTACTCAAGACTAAGATCGGTTGTTATTCTAACCTGCTTAGTTCTAACATAAATACCACGTTTCCTTTATCCATTCATCTCTGGATGGACAATCGGGGTCTTGTGTCCTGTTTTCAAGCCTCTTGGGTTTATACCTAGAAGTGGAAATGTGAGGAGCCCTGGTGGTGCTGTAAGGTAAGCACTGGACTGTTAACGCCAAGGCTATCAGTTCAAACCCACCAGCTGCCCCACGGGAAGACAAAGAGGCTTTCTGGTCCTGTAAAGGCTTACAGGCTCAGAAACCCTACAAGGACTTGCGATGAGTCAATCGTTTCGATGGCAGTAGGTATCACAACCCTAGGTTTACAATTTTGAGGAACGGTTAAATGGTTTTCCACACCATTTTGTATTCCTACCAGCAAGAGAGAGTAGATTATTGATTAGTAAATGTTGTGTTATCTATAGGACCCTGGTGGTGCTGTGGGTTACATGTCAGGCTGCTAACCACAAGGCTGGTGGTTCAAACCCACCAGTCACTTCTTGGGAGAAAGATGAGATTGCTCTTAGAAAGATTTACTGTGTCAGAAACTCTAAATAGGATTGAAATGAGTAGATGGCCGTTGGTGGTGGTGGGTGTCATCTACACCAGGAGCCCTGGTTGTGCCATGGGCTAAGCACTGGGCTAACTGAAAGGTCAGCAGTTGGATTGATCCCACCAGCCACTCTGAGGGAGAAAAGTGAAGCAGTCTGCTTCCATAAAGACTCATAACCTCAGAAACCCTATGGAGTGTTCTATCCATCCCACAGGGCCACTATGAGATGCAACTTGAGGGCAGTGGGTTTGGAGTTGTGGTTTTGGGGTGTTATCTATATTTTTACAATACAAAATAATTCACAAAAGTTTTCTCAACTTCCCAGGATTTCCTTCATCCACAGGTAAGTTCCACTGAGGAAATGAAGCAGGCTAGAATAGCAAGCAGGGAATTCACGCCAGCCCTTCGTTGCTATTGATGGTGCTGACTGTTTAGTGCCAAGATCTCTACAGTGAGTGTGGGCTGGCAGCTCCATAGATGACAGATGAGGTGCTGGCACTTGGAGAGACCCAGAGTAAATAAAAGTCTTTGTGACAGGGAGCAGACACAGGGACAGGAGCGTGCTGGGTGGGCAGCGATCCCGAGGTGATATGGATGAGGCATAAGGGCCACAGGACTTGGAGTATGACAGGGTGAGAGCTGGGAGGGGCTCAGCCTTTCCTAAAACCAAACAATGAAGAAGCACAGACCAGCAGTCTTAGGATGCTGGGGCTGGCCAGCTAACAGAGGAGGCGGTGGTGGGGACTTGTGTCTCTACAAAGGGTTGTGGGACGGCTTTGGTTCTGGGCCAAGACTCAGCCAGGCGCACTCCTGACTACTGGAGGCCCTCCTCCACCCCACCCCCACCCCCCCACCGGGAAGCAGGGGAAGGAGGATGCTGGGAGCCGCCTGGCCCTTCAGAAAAGTGATTCAGTGTATTCAAAACAAACAAAGAATTGTTGGCAAGCAGCCTGGTACACTTGGGGGCATGTTTGCAGACCTTGGCAACTCCAGGCTATAACTAGACGCGGGAGAGGAATGAAGGCTGTGGAGGCCACTGCAAAGGGAAAAGACCCCCAACTGACTGTCCTCTCAGTTCAAGGGTGAACTAGAAAGAAAATCTTCCCACCAACACAGCCTGGCCTCAGGGGCAAAAAAACAACAGAAAAAGCAAAACCAGAGTGTGGAACTAAAAATCACATTTACAACACCCATAAGATTTAGGAACCCCAAGTCAATACACTGAGGTAAACATAGAAATTACATGGGTACATTCCGAGGGAGGCTGGCAGAGCAAACACAAAACCAGCCACTCTGAGCCATGTTCCAGATGCACGTGGTTCTTCAGAAAAGACTGAAAATCACAAAGTCAATTCACCATGTCAACAGAAACAACATCAGACCCCGGAACAGCGTCCAGGCCTACGGTTGGTGCCCAATAAGCCAGGATGTCACTTCCGCTCCAACTCCAAGGATCTCCTGCCATACCACACCACTGTTGTTGATGAGAGCCATCAAGTGGGTTCCAACTCACAGTGTCCCCATATAGAGTTTCTAAGGCCTTCAATCTTTAGGGGAGCCAAGAGCCTCATCTTTCTTCTATGGAGCAGCTGGTGGAGTTCAGCTGCTGACCTTGTGGTTAATAGCCCAACACATAACCCACGACAGCATCAGGGTCCCTATCATACCAGATCATGTTGTTGTTGTTAAGTACCGTGGAGTCAGTTCCAACTCATACTGACCCTGCACAGGGTTTCTGAGGATGTAAATCTTTACGGGAGCAGAAAGCCTCATCTTTCTCCCGCGGAACAGCTGGTAGTTTCGAACTGCTGACCTTGTAGTTCGCAGCCTGATTCATAATCACTACGCTACCAGAGCTGTGGTCTGGTCATACCAGACCATAGAGCATCCTTAATATGTCGAGTCAGGATCTGACTCATAGCGACCCTGTACAGGGTTTCCAAGGAGCAACTGGTGACTTGGAACTGCCGGCCTTAATGGCCCAAACCTATGTTGCCGTCTACCGCATTAACCGGCAGCACCACACCAGAAGTCCATTATATATAATACTATGTGGTAAATAGAATTGTCAATTGTTCAAATGTATTATTTTTCAGACTATATGAATGAATACTGGAATCCTGGTGTGGCGCTGGGGGTTAATGCGCTAGACTGCAAAGTGGGTTTGAACCATAAGGTCAACGGTTCAAACCACTAGCCGGTCCTCAGAAACCCTATACAGGGTCACTATGGGTTGGAACCGACTCGACGGCACTCAACAACAACAATAAAGTATGAAAACTAACAAAATTGGTTCGTAAAATCTCTCTATAAGCAATAACAACCTTATCAGTTACAATAATATTAGTCACTGAACAGAAGCCTTTTTTTAAAAAATATTTCTCCTTCTTTGCCTTTAATCACTACTCCATAGTCAAAAAAGTTATCAATATCTTGAAGGTAAACCACCAGAATATATGACAAAATCAACAGCTATAAAAACACCTGCAGCAACCGAAGTCAGTCCCCTCTCCTGCTGTGTCCACTTGTGTGGTGGTCAAACACAAGGCTGGGGGACTTCCTGAGCAGTGTCAGCGCCAGTCAGCCTCAGATGGGAGAGCACCTACTGCCCCTCCATGTGCCAGGCCCTTCCTACTTCCGGCCTATCCCCACCCTTCCAGGAATCAGCTCCCCTTGGGGGTCAGTGGCACTTGAAGCTAGGCAGGCAGGAGCTGAATGCTGGCTGGCATTCTGGCTGTGTGTGGGCAAGTCACCCACCTTCTAGGTGTTGGTTTCTTCCTCTGGGAAATGGGTATAATGATAGTACTCCTCTGATGGGACTGTTGTGAGGATTAAATGGAAACAGGGACGCAGAAGGGACCACACAAAGGCTGGTATTCGTTCATATCTGATAAACACTGGCCGAGGTTCCTGCCTCCCACACCTCACCCACCCACTGTAATGATTACTCAACAAATATACACTGGGTGCCTCTCGGAGCACACATTGTGTTGGGGGATTTCATAGTGAGCAAAACAAAAACTATCTCCTGTCATAGCGATGAGAATCCCAAATGAAGAGGGGAGACAGGCAACAAAGACATCAATGGAAACATGTCAGTGTAATGATAAATTATGAAAAGTACTTCTAAGGAAAGAACAGGGGCTTAAGACAAAGAACAAATGGGGGTCTCCCCCACTTAGTTGAAGGGGTCAGCAAAGGCTTGGCCAAGGTGGTGACATTATTAATATCATCCTAAGCACAGCCATTATTTGGGAAGCTTTCTCTGACAGGGCAGAGAGTGAGTGTTATTAATTCCTGCATCCTCCGTATGGAACAGGCCTTGGACCAACACCCAATGTGAAGAAGGCCCATGAGGAGGGAGGGGGTGGGTGGTTAAGTGGATTTGGGGTGGCTTCATCAGTGTGGATGTGAATGAGGTTGAGGGGTGGATGGGTTGGCGTGTGGGTGAGTGAATGGATGGTGGGTGGACTGAGGAGGAGACAGTGGAAAGATGGAGGAGTGAATGGGTGGGTGGGTGAAGAGAAGGGCTGATGAGTAGGTAAGTCACCAGACACATGAACAGGTGAGTGAGTAGGTGGTTGAACAGACGAACAGATGGGAAGGTAGAGATGGATGAGGGGGTGAGTGGATGAGTGGTGACGGGCAGTGGACTGGGAGGCTGGGTAGATTAGTGGCAGGGGAATAGACAGGTGAATGGGGAGATATATGGGTAAGAGGTGGGTAGATGAATGGATGGTGGGTAAGTTGGTAGTGGGTAGATGGAAGGGTGGTGGGTGGGTAGATGGATTATGTGTGAGTTGGTGGTATATAAATTGAGGAATGGGTAGATGAAAGGGTGAATAGATAGATGATGAGTAAGCAGGTGAATAGACAGACGGATGTTAATTGAGTGACTGTACGGGTAAATGGTAGGTAGACGGATGGGTAATTGGGTGACTGTATTAGATTTATGGATGGTAATCAAGTGATTATTAGATGGATGATAACTGAGTGACTACTAGATGGATGATAATCAAGTGACTATTAGATGGATGGTAATCGAATGACTACTAGATGGATGTATAATTGAATGACTATTAGATGGATGGATAATTGAATGACTATTATATGGATGGATAATTGAATGACTATATTAGATGGATGGATAATTGAGTGACTACTAGATGGATGGATAATTGAGTGACTATTAGATGGATGGATAATTGAATGACTATTAGATGGATGGATAATTGAGTGACTATTAGATGGATGGTAATTGAGTGACTGTTTTAGATTGATGGGTGGATAAATTGAGTGACCTCATGGGAAGATGGTAGGTAGACAGATGAGTAGGTGAGTGAAGAGACAACCAGCCAAGACTCACCTGGGCTTTGACCTTCACGGCGTCGTACTCAGCCTTCATCCTCTTCTGGGCATCTTCGTCCACACTGGGGTCTCCAATCCTGTTGAACAGGGCAGCCGCCTCCTCCAGGAGCCGGTCCAGGAGGACAGCCTGGTTGTCCACGTTGTGCAGGAGCACCTGGGCATGGCTTAGCTGCCACTGCTTCTCCTTCAGGCCCAGCTGTAGCTCCACATGGGGCTCCAGGGTCACCAGCATCTTCTGGAACCAGCGGTAGAACTCATCTCGGGCCAGGAGGTATTCACTCCAGTGCAGCCACACCCACTCAATGCGACTGTGAAGAGAGACCCTCTGGTCATGAATCCACCGCACCTGGCTCCTGGGCCAGGCTTCCTGCCACTGCCTCCCTCCCAACACCAGAGGGCAGAGTGCTGGGGCAGTGAGCCCCTCTGTGGGTGAGTCCCCAGGACAGCCTGTTTACTAACACTCCTAACCCCGTGCTACTGGATAGGACCCCGCTCTCCTAGAAACAATTCTATGGTTGGGACAAAAAGTGCGCTAACAACAAAACAGTTGTTATTACTTCAATTCCAACTCATGGCAGCCCCATGTTATAGAATACGACTGTAGTCCACAGGAGTTCCAAGGTATGGTCTTTTGGACTCAGCTCACCAGGTCTTTCTTCAAAGGCACCTCTGGCTGGATTCGGACCACCAAACTTTGGGTTAAAGTTGAGTGCTTAACCAGGGGGTCCAGCTTCCTGGCCCTTGGTGATGAAGTTCGCTGAACCTGTAGCTACCTACACTCCATACTCCATCCCTAAACACGCACTTGGCAAGTATTCGGACACTCCGTCCACAGTCACCCAGACACACGTGGGTACATTAACACTCACAGCAGCTAAGGGGACAATGGACCTGTGGGTTCGGAGGGCTCAGTGGGAATGGGAGGGGCTTGGAGTCTACATGGAGTCTCGGCAGTGCTATGAACTCGCTGCATAACGGTGCCTTTCCACCTGCCTCCGTTTCCTGTAACCGGGAGGTGGCCCTCTCCCTCTTGCCAGCAGAGCTGCCGCTTGTTTGGAAAGCAGACTGCACAAGGTAGATCACACCCGTCAGCATTCCTGTTCTCCTTCTATGAAGATGGAGAAGGTGCTGACAGCTGCTTTTTTCTGACAGCTCACTATGTATCAAGTCTTTCTCAGGCATCTTCTGTTCCCTTACACTCTCTTGTCAACCTTCAAGGTTGCTGGTATGTGCTGTTGAGTCTGTATAGGATCTGAACCGCCAACCTTATAGTTAGCAGTCCTGTGCTTATCCTACAGGACCACACCTGGACTTCTCAAGGGACACTGGATGGCCCCATTGTCCAGATGACGACACTGAGGGTCAGAGAGGCCAAGTGACTTTCTCTAGGTCCCTTAAGTAACAACCAGCGTTGGTTGATGATGCATGGAGGGGATTGTAACCATGGCAATGAAACGCTATACAACAGGATGAATGTAAAACTAATGTTCTCCCATGTAAACTATCACATAATTCACAATAAAACATTAATAATAAAAGAAAGAAACAACCAGTGGAGCATTGTCAACCTCAAGTCAGCGTGACTTTCCTCCTCAATGTTTGCCACAAGCACCTGGTTCCTCTAAATGCCTGGCTCCCAGGTGCCAGCAAAGAATGTGGGCTAGCGTGTGAGCAAGGCCACAAGTCTTCTCATCCCAGGACCCTTGCTCCTCAGCTGGAGGACGTATATACAGCAAGTCCATGAAGAATGGCTAGTCAAACCTGAGGGGCCCTCAGTGACCACTCGTGCGATTAAGTTTGATGATAACCAGAAAGATGCAGAGAGGGTTGGCCCAGACCCAGGAGGACATCCTGTGTCTACTTGCCCAGCCTGGGGGAGACACAGCACTGGGGTAGAGGCTGGAGGCCGGTGTGGCAGCAGCCAAGGGGGAGGCGGGGTGTCACTGTCCTACCTGTGACAGTGAGTCATGTAGGTGGCTGTCTCCTCCCACTGGGCCTTAATGTCCTTCAGCCGGCCCAGGATCTTGGGTTTCTGGTCTTCCAGGCAGCAAGCCAGGAGGGTTTCGGCTGCACACAGCACTAGCTCTACCTTCACACGGCCCTCCGGCTCCAGCTGGCATATTTTCTGTTGGGGACACAAAAGCCAGTTTAGGTGAAAAGCAAGCGGGTGCAGGTAAGGGACAGCAGTGACATGGTAGAAGAGTCAGGATGCTGAGGTCAGACCAGCTGGGACTCTCAGCCCCTGGACCTCTCTTCTGTGATTCTGGATGGCCCACCTAATAGTTCCGAGGCAGAGGGAAGGGACGATGACCGTGAAGAGTACAGAACCGCCCTCCCTCCAGCCCTCCTGGGCCCATTTTTAGCTGTGTGAGTGAGGGCAAGCATCACGGACAAGCTTACTCATCCATAGCATGAGGGCATGAGTAGTGTCTACCTCCTAGTCTGCAGGAATTAATGAGAACATAGGTTGCTGTTGTTGTTGTTGTTGTTAAGTGTTGTCAAGTCGATTCTGACCCATAGCGACCCTGTACAGGATTTCCGAGAGTGTAAATCATACGGGAGTAGAAAGCCTCCTCTTTCTCCCACGGAACCGCTGGTAGTTTCGAACTGCTGACCTTGAGATTAGCAGCCCAATTCATAGCCATTATGCTACCAAAGCTCCTTCGAAAACATAGGAGGAGGCTTTAAAAGTTTGTGGGAAAACTCCAGCATCTTTTCATTTTACCATAAACTTTGTGACCCCACCACCACCCCCGGTCCTGGCCCATGCAAAACGCATCATGCCACAATGTGTATAAGTGCATGACGTTCTGCCGGGAGCAGGGCCTGAGCCTCACCTCTGTGTTCCCACCGAGGCCCGTCCCTAGTGACAACAGCATCAGTGTCCCATGGCTCACTTGTGCTTACTTACTAATCTGCAGTGAACAATGTCACATGGGTTTCACCTCGTGAAACTGTTTGCTACAGATTAGCAAGTACGCACAGGCAAACCCAGGCTGACCTCGCTTATGGGCCATCCGCCCCTGCTGAGCAGGCAGGAACACAAAGGCCAATCAGCTACCTCCTGGGATGTGGAACTTCGACTCCAAGACTCCCCCACAGCCTTGTCAAACGCTCCCTTGCCCTCTGCCCTCTCCCACTGGACTGGACCCACGGGCCTCTCCAGACTGCCAGGTCCTTTCTGCAGCATCTCCTTTAAGAAATACCAGGCACTGGCTTCTTGAAGGACTGAGACAAAGATGCACTGTCCACAAAGAGCTCGTCTCTGATTAACGTAGCTTTTGGCTTTATTGTCTCTAGGAGTCATTACTGTTGTTGGTGTGGGACCAAGCACTGTTTGGTTCTGTCATATATACGGTCATCATAAGTAGGAATGAACTCTACAGTGGTCAGTAAGAGGGTCCTAGTTAGTCTTCATCCCATTCATCTCTGTAGCATGACTGGACCCCAACCCCAGCTCTACTCTTTCCCCTGTTTCACCTTCATCAAGGTATGTAAATTCCAGAGGCTGTTGTGGAGCTGTAGAGTAATTAATAGACTGCTAATCACAAGGTTGAAGGTTCAAACCCACCAATCGCTCCTCAGAAACCCTATACAGGGTCGCTATGAGTCAGACTGCTGGTGTGGCACTGTGGGTTAATGCGCTGGAATGCAAAGTCAGTTTGAACCTCAAGATCGGCAGTTCAAGCTCACCAGCCGCTCCTTGGAAACCCTATAGAAGGTTGCTATGGGTTGGAACTGACTCGATGGCACTTAACAACAACAACAATGAGTTAGAACTGACCTCACGACACTCACCAACAACAACATGGAAGATGGACGTGAAGAGGGCTTGAAGCCCTTACTAACTGATGAAGATCAAAGACTACAGCCTTCGGCATGGATCACACATCAACAAAAGGAAAACAAACATTCCCACCATTGAAGCCATGAGCAACATCTCAACAAATGGAGACAAGATTGAAGTTGTCAAGGATTTCATGTTCCTTGGATCTACAATCAATGCCCATGAAATTAAGGGACACGTTGCATTTAGGCAAATCTGTGGCAAAAGACCTCTTCAAAGTGTTAAAAAGCAAAGATGTCAGTTTGAGGACTGAGGTGCACTTGACCCAAGTCCTGGTATTTTCAATCACCTCATATACATGTGAAAGTTGGACAAGGAATACAGAAGACAAGAGAAAAACTGATGTATTTGAATTATGGTGGAAGACTATTGAACATACCATGGACCACCAGAAGAAAGGACAAATCTAGCTTAGAAAAAAGTGCAGTGAGAGAATTCCTTAGAAGCTAGGATGGGGAGATTTCGTCTTCATGTATTTGGGACACACCATCAGGAGAGATCAATCCCTGGAGAAGGGTATCATGCTGGTAAAGTAAAAGGTCACTGAAAAAGTGTAGGACCCTGGGCCCAAGCATTGTTGACCGTCCAAACCATACGCTCTGAGGATCAGACTCTAGCTACCTAGTAGACATAACAAACTGTCCCTCATCTGATTATTCAGTAATGCTTGTTAGTAATCTCATACGTGAGCCCTGGATATCCACAGACAAATGTAAAAACCTTCCTCCCCTAAAAGCCGAGACTGTAAATTCCAATAAGCCAAGTACCCCCCAATCCAAAAAAAAAAAAAAAAAAAAAAAGCTAAAGAGGATAGAGAGAAACACTGTAAACTGATGATATATAGCGGGGATAATAATCAATGTAATGAAACAAGCTATATGAATGGTTGAATGTGAAGCTGATGATGTGCCCTGTAAACTTTCACTCAATGCAAAATAAAAACATTTAATTAAAAAAAAAAAAAAAGTGTAGGACCCTCTACAAGACGGATTGACACAGAGAACGTAGTAACAATGGATTCAAACGCGACAAAGATTGTGAGGACAGTATGGGACTGGCCATCTCTGTTGTACACAGAATCACTGTGAGTTGGAACCACAACAGCAAGGAATGGGGGAAGATGACATTAAAAAACACCCCAATGCTCGGGGGAAGGAGTGCATGGAGGGTATTGTAACCATGGGAATGAGACATGATAGAATGAATGTAAAACCAATGTCCTCCCATGTAAACTATCACATAATTCACAATAAAACATTAAAAAAAAAAACACCCCAATGCTAGTAATACTTAGGGAGGCCTACTGCTGCAACAGTATAAAACTTAGCTGCTAAAAGAAAGATTGGCGGTTCAAACCCACTAGCGGCTCTGAGGGAGAAAAGACTCAGTGATCTGCTCCCGTCAAGATTACAGCTAAGAAACTCCGATGGAAGGGTTCTACTCTGTCACATGGGGTTGCTATGAGTTGGAAGCAACAACAGGGGATGCTGAGGTAACAAGGGAGATGGAAGCATGACGCCTGTGTTCTCTATCAGTAATCGTTCAGTACTAGTCGTATCTTTTACTGACCTTCCTGGTTTGTATTTACTAACAGCACAGTAAATACAGCGTGCTAAGGTCTAGTCTATACTGTCTCTTTAAATTTCAATGTCAATTGATACAAAGGATTGTATCAAGATTGACATTGAAATTTAAAGAGACAGTATAGACATAAAACCAAACGGCCACCACTCGTCTGTCTGTCGTGCTGTGGTGGT